TACGTGATCGAAGAGAGGGAACAAATCGTAAACGTATGGCCGGGAGAGAGGCCGTCGCCCCGGAGGAGGGTAACTCGACACTCGGGCCGTCTTAACTTTTTAACACACACCCCCGGAATCGACCGGCCCCGAGTGGAACTTAATTCCGCGTACCGGGCGAATCGCAACAGCCCTCCCTGGTTCGTACTTCCAGGGCGAAACTCGTCATTTTATCGTCGAATTTTATCCTTGAGACGCGAAGCCGTCTCGCGGAAAACTCGATGCCTGGCGCAAGCCTAGTGACGGTATCTGCATAACGCTAAAGAAAAGGAACGCAGAAAAAGAAAATGACACCGCGGAAGTGCGCAAGGATCTCGGCCTTTAGAACTCGGGCTCCCCGACAATGGAGGTTTCTCTCGCAGTGTACAAAAGTTGCCGGCTGGAAGTTGCCGGTGGATAATCCGCCGCTTCAATTATTCGGACAATGAGCCGGCCGTCATTGTGCGGCCTTAATCGCGAAGATGGCTCGAAGGCTTCCGCGCAATCTAATCCTCGGTGTTAATAATCTCTCGGGGGGCCAAACGCCGGCCCAGGGCGACACCTCCGAGGTGCGAGGAAGGCAGGGAGAGACGGAGAGAGGCAACGAAGCGCGGGGCAAACTAAGTCAACGTAGAAAACTGAAGGCATACAGTCCCTGTCCGAAGTCGAAACGAGGCACTGAATAGTAAGCAAGGCGAAACAATTAAGAAACTATCCCCCGGGAGTCGAGACTCGGGAGCCGCGTGTTGAAAGTTAGGGATTCGTGTGAACAATACTTCGTATTAAGCTGCATCCGCTTTAAAGTTATGACAATGTCCCAGACATCGATAGAGCCCCCTCTCCCTCTTCTTCCAGGGCGAACGGGACAAAGGTATACAACGTGAAGTCGGTATTCGCCGCCAAACTAGTTCGCGGCTTCATTTGCGAATACGGGACGAATAACGATAACGTGAATTATTTTTAAGCTCGAGCAGAGTGCGAATACGTTTTTAAAAAATATGCCCCGCTAATTACGTGTCCGGTTTTGCAAAAATTCCGTGACTGGGAGGACGGATACAAATCGGGCGGGCTGTGTCTCCATTACCGTGGCACTTGGAAGGGCTGTCAACTATTTTCCACGTGGGGTCAGCCGTGCTCTCCGCGTGTCACCGTAATCAAGACAAAAATCCGGTGATTTCGACCAGAATTTATTCCAAAAATAACGCGTCGTCTCGCCCCCGGATGAATGGGTGTACACCACAAGAGCGAGCCCCTTGAAAGTAATCTATTACACCCTCCCTCTCGATGTCCGTTTAACCACTCGGTAAAAATATTTCTTGGTTTCTGCCTAATTAACCTATCGGCGAGATGGGCAGATTTTTAGATTCTAGATTCCCCCAAGTAAGAGTCGCAAGACTCCGCATTATAAAGCGATTTAACCTCGTACACGGCACGCGCGCACCCAGTGGGTAATTTTAAATCTCCGCTAACGAAGCCTTGATTAAATGAAAATGCTTCCCCAGTAGCGGAGCTTTAAAGGAGGGTATTTGCTTCCCGGGGGCATCGACCCCTTCCCGTTGTACTTTTCGCTTACCCCAGCTTTCCCACACTTTGTCCGCCCTCTGGTATTGGCTTCCCGCCCTTATTTCAAGGATCGAAAGGCGCCTTGTACGTAGTTTTGTTAGCTCGTAAGTCAAACCCGACACATCCTCCGTAGGGTCAGTGGGCTTCGCCCCTCCGAGATTACCTTTCGCTTACTTCCCGAAGTATGGAGTTTCACTTTTCGCCCTCGATGTGTCGAATGTCGGGAGTTAACTAACCCTGTTTCGAACTCTCACCCCTGGCGTTCTCCCCGAGGGGTAGTCGCCGTTCAAATTCCAGCAAAGTGCCTCCGACGAGGAATTTTACCTCGGCGAGGGTTCTCGAAGGAGGTGCGAAAGCGGCACCTCGACCCCCCACGTTCCGAACTTAATCCCCCGAAGACGAATCGATTCCTCCCCTCTCCGAGATCGGGCTCGTTCTCCCAGGTAATTCCTCCAGGTTCTTCCCAGGGTGTGGCCCGACTTCCTAAGGGGTACGAAGGTCGCCGAGTATTACGGCCTGTAATTAACGTATATATTAGGGCTTTTTGCCGAGCGCCAAAACCTCGGTAATCCGACGGCCTCCGTTCCTCGACCGCTCCGTTCCCGGAGTTCCGGGCTTCCGGGCTTCCGGGCTGCGGCTGGCCGAATACGTGTTCGGCTTCTCGCGCCCGCCCCGGCCAGATGCGAGTTTAATAACCCGCGAAGGAGACGCGCCGCCATCGTTTCGGCATTATCTGTTTTGCGGCCCGCCTTCGCCGAGCTTCGTGCTTTAATGGCCCCTTGATGCAGCCGTTTCTTTCCGCTGGTACGATTACGATGCACCGGTGCACCAGGGTCGGCCGTCGATGAGCCCGTCGATGAGCCCGTCGAGGAGCGGGATTCATTCGGCATAAATAAATAAAAAAGTGAGAACTCTAAATTCTTGCCTCGAGGTAGAAGATGCAGGCCATTTTTCTTCCTTCATTGAATGCATCCACGTGTACGTACTCGAATCCTTATACATTCTAGATATAGATATACCGAGTGTCGGTCGAAGGTGGCGCCAGGGCCTAAGGGGTTAATAAAACGAGGAAATTAAGTCTGAACCGGCGGAGGCATTTCCGCGAAAACGGGAGGAAGTATTTCCATCTAATCGCGGCCTCGTTAGCGTCGATCGACCCCCGACCCGCTCGTCGCGACGGTAGGCGAGGCGCGAGCGACTCGATCAACGAAATCGTTATGGAGTCGGCGGGATTCCAGCCGAGCACTGGTTTCGCCCGACGCATATCCGGCGTGGCCCGACACCGCGGCCGCCTAGAGACGCGCTAATATATATGCAAATGAAGCGTTTGATAAATAATTCAGTTTTCAGTCGAGCGTCGAGCTACGAGAGGTTAGGATCCGCAGCTCTAATTTACCCGAATTAACTTTCCCGCCCACCGGCGGGCCAACCGCTCCGCCGGCTCGTCGCGTCTCTCTCTCGCGCGCTCCGCGCGCCTCTAGCCGTCTCGCTCTAATAGCCCCGACGCCGTGGCGCTCACCCTTTTCGCTGCTTCTCCGCGGGTTCCCTCCTTGACCGATGCCAGGACGACTTCGACCCCGATGCGATTTATGGCTGGCACATATTGCCGCGCGGTGCTTCGCTGACCGATCCCACCTTAAACGCCTTCCCGCGACTCGTTCAAAGGTCGCCGAGCGCGCGGTGGCTCACGGGAACGGCGGAGGTGGCGCCCTCTCGCAGCACTCTGCGGAACCTGCGATCGGAAACAAGGATCGACGACGCGACACCGAGGAGATTTTTTATAAAATCGCGTGTCACGATCCGCCGAGAGAGAAACGATTCTGCATGTCGTATCGATACCGATTCCCAATCATCGAAACGTTGAATGACGCGTTTACTCCCTAAACATTTCCCGGAATTTTATAAAGCGCCGAACTTTTCCGTACGCGAGCGAAATGCAACCCGACTAACTTCATTCCGTGCGCGCTTGGTGCCACCCGTGGAGGGGAAATTTGCATTGACCGTGGTTTCGGCATTGTTGGGATATCTCGTTTGAGATGACGAGAAACGTCGGGGAAGTTTCGTCCCTTGGGGCTTTCGCAACCCTTTCGTGCCCTCCCTCCCCGCATTAGCCCGCGACTCTTTCATTTTCCTTTCCGCCCCCCCCCCCCCTCCCTGCCGCACGCGGATGCGTCTCCGGCCCTCTTTCTCCGGGCGCTCCTAATGGTGCATCGTCCCGCATTTCGTTACGTGCTGCATTCACGTGGAGGGTGCACCGAGGACGCCCTCGAGGACGCGCGAGAGTCCTCTCACCCCTCGTTCTTTTCACGGCGAGAAATCGGGATTTCCATCGCCGTGAAAATGCGACTTTTCTTAAGGGCCGGATTTAATTAATCCGCGACGCGTTTCCACGGCGTCGTTAATTCCACTGATATGTTTCTTTTCTATTACAGCTCTCGGGCAAGGAATTCCGGCCGTGCCGCGAAGCTCGATAAGTATGTATCAACAATGATGTACTTCGCCTGCAGCAGAAATCAGCTGAGCTCGGCAAAGAGAACGACGGTACGACTTCCTCTTTGAGGGATGTGATGAAAGAAGCTCTTTGAAAAGTACTTCCGATTTCATCCGTTTATCCGACCACACAGTTTTGTAATCCGCGAATGGCGAAGTAACGAGACAAAAGAAAATCGACCGAGATACTCCGCGCAGTCTCGCGTTTGAGGGCATAATGCTTTGATCTCTTTAAAATTCAAATCAACCCGCGAGGAGAAATTCGCCATCGCGATACTCGAGATTGCATCGCCCCGCTAGACAGGCTGCGAAAGAGAAGTCCACCCGTTCAAGAATGACCGTTACACGAATGGCCGAACTTCGGTAAACACCCTCGTCTTCCCTTGAGATTTTTAAGGGAACTTTCGAGTGACTTCTCCGTGAGAAAAATTCCTATCCGCTCTTACGAGGTGGCCGGGATTTGTTAAAACGGCTTCCGAGTAGTTATCCGGTTCGTGCGGCCCGAGGAATTGCATTTAAGCGCTTCCACTCGAATTCCAACTACCTTCCCAATTTAAAAAAATGACTCTAACCTAGTGCTCGCCCCTGCGTAAACCCGTGAAACGAAATTCCGTTATAATGCTGCACACCGGAAATGTGATTTCGCCCCAACTTTTATGCGAATCTATTTGGCAACTTGCCGGAAATCTCAAGATACATTTTTCTGCTTTCATTAAGTTTCGCTTATTTCACGGAGATTTTCCAAGATTTCGAGATTCCAAGACGGCCTTCGCGTTACTCGTCGCTTAAAAGAATTTCAGAACTACTAAAACTCGACTCTGCATAAAATTGAAGCCATCACTTTATTAAGTGATCCAATTCGTTATCATAATCGTTATTAATTAGTAGAAGGTAGGTTCTCACGGGAGCTGGTAAAGAAGTGAATTAGATCTTCAACATTTTCACCATTCATTATTAGCTGTTAGACGATACAAAATAGAAACGCGTTTCTAAATATAAGACATACATGCTATGTAATCCTGTATTACCCCTTTTAATTTTATACCAAATTCTGTACTTGAACGATAGAAATACACGAATGTTTACAAAAGACAAAGCAGATTCCCATCATCCATAATATGTAATTAATAAGTCCTACAACTAAGATAAATAATAATATATTCCCTACATTACATCGATCATAAATTTATAATTTAACATCCAAAATGTTGACGTCGTATTCAAAAACTTGAATTATAATCGTGTGGATAATTAATTTTCGGTATTCTATCTTTGGACAAAATGTCTTAGGCTTACCGAAACCTTGAATTCATGCACTCGAATAAGAAATTGTAGATAGAGGGCAAATTATGAATGTTTATTGCTTGGCAATCGTAATAACGCGGGGCTAATTATTTTACATAATATCTGCACTCTGTACAAACCTTAATTAACGTATCATTATAGCTTTGGTCTGAAAGGAGTCGTATAAGAAACATTTCTTGGAATGTTCCAAAATAAGTTATCAAATTTATGGAGAACAATTAAAATTTTATGAGTTCTCTCTTGTATAAAATCAAACCACGTAGAATGCAAAACTAATGTCTGAAAACTATCATCTTTGATACTAAGGTAGTCTAAAAAGGTATGCAATAACAAGAAAGGCATTATCTGGTGTTATTACTATTCTTGGATGGAACAAAACCCATTTGGTGCCTTTAACGTATGATCTTCGCTTTTAAAGTCCTGCTCGAATGCTTTTATTTTTCTGTATAGTGTGATAGCGTTTCTCATTTTTTTTAAATATTCAATTTTTGGTAAATCTACGATATCAGAAGAATCCCACGGTTCATACAAAGTTACCCCTTACGCTTAGCCATTGCAATACCAAGTCCAAGAACGGTAGCTACTCCAACTATACCCATGCCAGCAACTGCCATTGCTTTGAAACCCTCTATAAAAAACATAATTTATCGGTTAATAGTCTTTTCAAACATTAAGTTTTTCATTATTACCTTTTTCCATTTTCTTTTTTATTAATGTCTCCAAGTGCTGTACTTGCTGATTAGATGGTTCAACTTGCAAGAACATTCTCACATACCCCAAAGCTTTCTGATACTCCTAAAATTAAATGTACAATCATACTTGAAAGTCATCAAACTACATAGAAACGTGCAACAAAGACGTGCTGTCGGCAAGTGACATTTGCAAGTCATTATGACACATTACAAATCTATAACACATTTTACTTATAATTCCATTCTTTGGACAAAAGAAATCATATATTACCCTTATCCTAGCATTTCCAATTGCTAAATAATATAGACAGTCTCGCCGTTCACTGTCGCAATGATTATTGAAAAGATCCTCCAACAGGATAATTCCTTTTCTGATATCCGCAGGATACTTGCTCCTGACCAAGCACCACGCATACTCGAATTGCACTTTTGGCGTAACATCCCCTGTGCGAAGGTGGTCGTGATATTTACACTCAAATTTCTGGAAAATATATCATTCATATCGCAATCGCTACCAAACTTACATACATACGTTTGTAGATTTCTTATTCTGATGGATAGCTCCCTACATTTTAGGTTATTTTATCCCATTGAGCAATCAACCCGAAAATATGATCTCAATCATTGATCTAACATAACACTATTGCAAGAGGATATTGTGGATAGAAAAATGTTAGCAAAAACGTTACATCAAACTGACTGTTATCTCACCTTTAAATCCTCTGAAGAAACGACCTCGTCCAAAACGTCATCCATGATCGAACGACTAAAAATCCAACTACGAAATACGGTTTTTGGTGGCAAGAATTGTATGAGAATGTTACCTCAAATTAGAAAATTTACCAGAAATGTGATGGTCACTCCATTCAACTGGAATCGAACGCGTTTGTGACTTAATCGTGTGAGGTCATCTCTTTAAATCTTTCAGGAACAGTTTACTTGAGAATCTGCGGGTGAAGTACAGACGAAAGAATTCGATTTCTGATTGGTGCAGCTATTTGCAATCCGGTCGGCTATTTCCGTCAGAGTTCGGCCGTTGGTCGATGGAAGAACCAATCACGGTCACTTTTCTGCAGGTGGATCGAGCAGAGCCAGAGATGAGAGATTAATATAATTCAACAATAATTCTCAATCGACGGCATTCAGAGATCGTAACGAGGTGCAAGGGAGGCTTCGTAGATGACGAGGCGGTATCAAGGAGGATTCCTGAGTTAGCTGCCACTGGGAGTATTAGGTGGCAAGTGCACGAGCCGCTCGCATTCTCTACCGAGGACAGCATAGAACGCAATTGCGTGACCGAGCCCGCGAGCACTTCTAACTGATTTCTGAATGTATGACAAACTTACTGTGAAAATATTTAAAAAATATTGACTTATAAATTAAAAATCATAGTAGTAGTAGTAGGTAGCAGAAATAAAACACCAGTCGCTTTGAAAAGAAAATACAATTCATTCGTTTAATTTGACTTTATTATCAATTACTTCAGAGGAATGAACCGTGATGAATGAGTGGCACCAATACCCGGTCTTCCATGCTTTACAGGCTTGTAAGTGACAGAGAATTCTCCCAGATAATGGCCAATCATTTCAGGTTTAATTTCAACCTGATTGAAAGACTTTCCATTGTATACTCCGACGATAGATCCTACCATCTCTGGAACAATGATCATATTACGCAGCTGTGTCTTGACAATTTCAGGTTTTTCATTGAGCGGCGCTTCCTTCTTCGCCTTTCTGAGCTTCTTAACCAGTGCCATTGGTTTACGCTTTAATCCATGAGAGAATCGTCGCCGAGCCCGAGCATGCATAAGTTCCATTAACTGCTCACTGGAATAAAAATCACGGATCAGATTAATTCTTGTCAACATAAGTAGACTTCTCTTTGTATCGAAGCAATATGGTAAATAACACAGGTACAAAATTGAGACTGCATTTTACGAAAATTAATTAATCACTCTAGATTATGTTGGCAAAGGATATACATACTTCGGCATGTCTAGAAGTTGATCTAGATCCACACCCCGGAAAGTAAATTTCCTGAAGGCCCTCTTCTTTTTCATAGTCTCCTCTGCCTAAAAATTAATTAAAGAACTTTGTTTTGGTAGCATATTAATATTCAAAGCTGTCAAAGGAAAGTAATTCGACCGAGCCTGTAAATAACCTCTCATTCATGCTTTGCGAGGTTGATACATTAACCTTAAAAATCTCATTTTCGCTTTCTAACAGAGATTACTGTAATATTTGCGGATTACAATTTGTCAATGAAAATATTATACCTCGGCCATGTTTGAGCGTGCTTTGGATCAGAGCGAAAGAGCCACAAAAGAACCGGATGGAATCCGCTGGATGCTAAATGACCGAGTTCAACTAACTTATATAGTTGGGCAACTCATCTACCAGATCCTACAATGTAGTTAGAAAATTGGGTGCAGATACCGCCACTTTGTGATTCAGTATGTCAAACTCGTGACGTAAAATACCTAGTAATTGACTGTAAAAGAATACGCAAATTCCCTAGGGTATTTTACTTACCTACCCTTGATTAATGAGTTAAAATATATAACGTAGAAGGATAGATTTTCTAAATTTCTCAAATTCGGTAAAATTATGATTCGAAGGTCATACAAGAAATTGACACTTAATAGAAATAGTTATATTTATTTTCCAATATAAAAACCCATATAAGTATATAACAATCATGAGTAGAAAAAATGTGTCATACTATTAAACTAAATAGAGGAAGAGCGCTGTAACCAGTGTGTATAAAAGGATGACTGCTATAGATTCAGTTCATATTGCACATCTTCCACTTCCATATAAAATTGGAAATCAGCCTAATACAATGAGAACCCTTGAACCATTTTGTTTCGAAGTCTTATAATTTTGATTTATTGGCATCAATAAGTGTTTTCAGTTTCTGCGTCAGCATAATGTTCCCTTTAATTTTTAACTTGCCTTGCATAAATGCCACCTGTGGGTTCAGTTTGCCCAAAGCCTATAAACAAAATTAAAATTATAAATATCTCAATATAATTTTCGCATATAGCTCTTTTTAAGTATTCCCAAATTTATAAATAATTAAAGTACGTACGATTTCAACCATGTGTTTATCATCCACTGTGAGTGTTGTATCGGGTGTCCCAGACTTCGGTTTTCCTTCATAGATCTCTGCTTTTTTCAAATCCAAGGCTAGAGAATACAGAATATTAAAAAAAAATAATTACATGTACGTACGTAATTTCGTGCATTCCAATGCGATTAATCAAGGACTAAAAAAGAACTCACTCCAAGACTTGGGTTCTCCATTACTGGTGATTATATAATGGAAGACTCCATTAATTTTTTTCACCTCATCTTGATTAGACTTAACGTAATCACTCATTACAGCAAATACTGCATCGCTTTCTAAACTTACTTTTGCTGATTGAGGATTTGGCACAATGTGTTGAATTTCTATTGCCTTTAAATCAGCATAACCCCCTAGTAGCAATAATTACATGTGACGATTGTAAGATGTTTAACATTTATAGTAAATATTTTGAAAATAGTTTCAACCTGCTATTTATCACAGGAGCTGAAACATCAATATTACCTGTTATAACAGCACTGTTGTTTTCTGTAACAATTGTTTGGAAATGAATTCTATTTTCATTACGCCACATGTCAGTGCGCAGTGTTTGTCCTGGATATACTGGCTTTGAAAATCTGACCTAAAAATATTCTCAACATGTGCAAAACAGTTTGAACTCAAATTTATATATGGTATAAGTATACCAGATGTCTTTATGCTAATTTATGGTAATTACTCATTGTCATTCTAAATACATTCTTAATATGTTCTTTTGAACATATGGACGTGATTACTTAACATATTTTTATTTCGTTGGCTGCGTACCTTCTGTACCTACTGATAAACGTACCTTGATTGATTTGAATAAATTCGGATTACCATTGGCATATGCTTGGAGTATGTGTCGAACCGCGAAACCAAGTGAACTTAACCCATGTAAAATGGGTTTTTTGAACCCACTTAAGTGAGCAATAATTGGATCTATGTGTAATGGATTAATGTCACCATTCAATCTGAACCATGCTGCCTGAGAAATTAAAACATTAAAAATATTTGCTTCTACAATACAGTACTATGTAAATATATTAATATGTACACCATTTTTTTTATTTTTATTTCAATACCTGATTAACAGACGTTTTTTGAGTAACTGATTTTTCGGGTTTGCTTTTTGGCGGATCGATAGGTGGAATAACATATTTGGACGTTCTTGGGCCTCCAAATCCACCAGCACCATTTACATAAATAGACATCTGGCCAGTAGTAAGCTTATTTCCACTTTTCAGATCATAGGTTTCACCTCAAAAAATAATAAGCATTGATTAGGATTTGTACTAAAGTAGAAAAAGGAGTGACAGTTACATACAGTGTAATAAAATGATGGCGCCTTTTCCTTTATCCATGACATCTTGTACTGTAAAACGAGTTTCCACAGTGGCATCTGTCGGTATTTGATTGTGAACCTCCAAATATTGTTCTCCGTGCACCGCCTGAAATATTAATTATAAATGACCATGATGCTCTACCAAGGGAATTATAATCATATTAATAATTTTTAATCATTAATTTACCATTGTAGGGTCCAATTCAATTTTTGGAATGACATTGTGTAACATATTTGTTGCCATAGCACCTACAGGACCATCAGTTGTATAGAACATTGGATGGACAGCAAAATTTTCATGATTTTCATATAAATAACAAATATCTGATGGTTCATCGAGTGTTGCACCAACTAAAAAATATATTATGTGATATGTTAGTATTAGAAAAAAATTCTACTGTATGATAAACATTATACCTCCAAGTGCATACAGTATGGTATCTCTGAAGGTGTACGAGTGCCGATAGATGTGTTCCTTTTTGCATAAAGTAGAAATAGTATATTAATGTAACATGAATGTTATTATTGTATTTAAACGAACATATCAGCTAATAACCGCATACATACGGGTGTTTGTTGACCATTTCTTAGCCTTTCAGCGACATTAAACAATTCAGCTGTTACTTCCTGAAATACAGGATGTATCGAACTATATCTTATTAACTGTTAATATAATTATATTATCATCTCAGTATAAAGACTTACTTGAATTGAATTATAATGCTTAGCATCAGTCATATCAGTAACAGTTGTCCAATTATTTCTTACATCTTCTGGTGTAACTGAATCTGTTATATTTTGACGGAGAACACACCCTGATGCACGGACCAAATGATCTAATAAAAGTTATATGATTAATTACTATTATATTTTATGGAAGTTCATTCTAATTTTACAGTTCTCTTATCCCCAATCAATTTTTAAGATCTATTTAAGGAAACCTGTACTTGTTCTGCTGACTGTTATCAGAATTGACCTTGAACATTGTAACTGAATACCACTTAGATTAGATAATATTAAAATGCTGGTATGACAATGCAAACTGCATTCATTGTTCACTGTGCTTGAAAGATTTTTGGACAACTTACACTTTCCAGCCCAACCCATAGCTGCTTCGATAATGGAACCACTTTCTTTACAATCATCATGACAAAGCCATAAAACTATAGGAGCAATTAATTCAGGTTTTAACAGAGTATGAAAATCTGAAAAGGACATTTTCTTGATTAATTGATCGTACCAGTTAAATAGAAATGAATTAAAAAAAACTAACCAGGAGGTAAAACATCTTCAGTAAGACGAGATCCTGCAGTAGGCACGATTACATTAGTATTAATATTATATTTTCCGCCTTCAATTGCCAAGGTATTTGCCAAACCAATCAAAGCCATTTTTGCAGCACTATAATTTGCTTGGCCAAAATTACCATATAGACCGCTCAAGCTGGCAGTAACTATTACACGGCCATAATTTTGTTTACGAAAATATGGCCATGCTGCCCTTGTTGTTTTAAATGCTCCTTTTACATGGACATCATGAATAATATCTACAATAAAACATCACATAATCAATATCTGTTATCATGACATTTACAGCTTCGTTAGGATTATAACACACACCCCAATCATCATCGGACATATTAGCAATGGATTTATCTCTTAAAATTCCAGCATTATTAACAATGATATCAATACGTCCAAATGCATCAATAGCTGTCTTTACAATCTTATCACCGTTAAGGACAGAATCATAGTTTGCTACCGCCTTTCCACCTGAAACATTTTATATACAGATAAACACTGAGTCAGATTTACACTTTGATACCATATTTGCAACATTTTTGTATGGAGGAAAAAATCTAACCAGACTGGCGGATCTCGGCAACGACAGTGTCAGCAACATTAGAGCTTGCTCCACCTCCATGACGATTGCTACCAAGATCGTTCACAACAACCTTCGCACCTCTGCTACCAAAGAGAAGTGCATAAGCTCGGCCCAACCCTACGATCAAAGGTCGAATTTAATCATTCCGTTCAAAGTTACGTTACCAATTTAAATAAAATTCATATAAACATGAAAAATAATCACCTGCGCCAGCTCCGGTTACTATGACGACTCGGTCATCAAATCGCAATTTCTCCGGCATTTTAATTTGCTATTAATCTCAAATATGTTTTTTTGTTAGCTTGTCAGTACTACCACTGAACGTGTTAACGCAACCACTTCACATTCAAACTGATTCGACTGACAGGCAAAAGTGCAAATTACACCGGTTTATCTGAGCGGAAAACAAATATACATATTCAATGTCTTTCCCGTCTCTCTCTTGACATGACCTGGACCCCTGGACACACTTTCATGACTTACCTGTGCATGCATGCATACATGCATGTGAATTTAAATACCCATTATCAGTTCATCCGTATCAACGTCGTTCTGCTTTATAGATTGTTGTTCTCATCTATAAAAACGTTCCATCGAAACTAGTTCTTAAGTAGTGGTGCTGCTATTTACCTATCCATTTGACATTCAACAGTTAATATACTTATTTTTATGTTTCGAAAAGCAGATGTCACCTCACTCTGCCATTAGTAGTAGACTTCTAGTGGTTACCTACTTCGTGCTTATGTCGTCATTGCCGCATAAGAGACGTCGAGACCTGCGACGCCATTTTCGACAGTCGGGAGAAGTGTCGGGGCCATTTTGTATACTCGATTTGTACTCGAATGTATGTGCAAGCGCTGTGCGTCGTTAAAAGTGGATTAATCTCTATCGCGTCGCGATAAATCGGTATTTGTGAGGTTTACGTTAATCGAGAAACTAGAAAACATGGGGCGGAAAAAGAAGAAGCAGTCCAGGCCATGGTGCTGGTATCCTTTCCTAACGAATACCCAGAAAAGGACATTTTTACGTAACTGATTCCCCCGACTTTTCCAGTGGTTTCTTCGAGCTTTTCTGTCGCTTTAGGCGAGCCCAGTCAGCTGGGCATAAATCGTCAACGGGTTCTTTTATTGCAGCATAACTTATATCATTAATTGCGTTGCTCTCAAGTAGTAGAGGACGCTCGTTGGGTAAGCGGATTGACCGGATACACGGAGTAATCGATAGTTGATGCGGTCAACTGCGCTTAACGGTGGTAGAATTTAAAATAACCAAGTTGTTTGTGTTGTTCATATTTGTCAGAGGATATGGCTGTGGCACGATTTTTTTTATTCGGTGTTTCATAATCGAGGAAGACCAAGAAGTGTTCTAGAATGTATAGTATATGCAATAGGGATATAGTATTCCTTAACCAAGTTTTAAAGGTATTGTAATCGAGAGTTTGACGACGAAAAGATTTTAATTCAGCACCAGAAGGCAAAGCACTTCAAGTGCCATATTTGTCATAAGAAATTATACACGGGGCCGGGACTTAGTATACACTGTATGCAGGTAAAGCCATTACAATTTTTAAAACGATTCAATCGTCTTAAAGTATTTTTAAGATGGATCCATTGTTTAATCGTACGATATCGTTACAGGTACATAAGGAAGCGATAGACAAAGTACCTAATTCGTTGCCAAATCGTAGCAATATCGAAATAGAAATTTATGGTATGGAAGGTATCCCGCCGAACGATGCCAAAGAGCACGAGAGGCAAAGGAATGGCGGTAGGCCAGGAACACCCAGCTCAGGAGAGGATGAACCTACTCCGAAAAAATCTAAACCGGAAGGTCTTCTGGGTTCTGCACCAGGTGCCATGTCGGGTTCGTCGAACATGCTGCCTGGAGTAATGTCTGGAATGCAGGGGCATCCAGGCATGCCACCGATGGGTCAATATCCTCCACCCATGCATCCGATGATGGGACCGATGAGTCACGTGGGACCGCCTTTCATGGGACCTGGGTAAGATATTTCCAAATCGACAAATGTCTCGTTATAAGATGCTTGACGTATAGATAATAACCTCTGCGTACTTTTGCAGTGGTAATGCTCATACTAAACAGTCGACCTAATTTTATTTCATAGCATGATGTCTGGCATGCCAGGTATGCCCCCTGGAATGCAGCCACCGGTGAGCGCGGCCAATATGCCACCATCTAGGCCGCTATTCCCTAGTGCTGCTGCTGTTTCAACGGCAGCAACTTCAACTTCTGTATCGACACCTCTCGGAGCTGACTTCAAACCTATCACGTCGGTAGCAGGTGGTTCGATCGGTCCTATCAAGCCCACTTTTCCAGCATATGGAGGCGGGGAAGGTAATTCCGGGTCAAACAACGAACCATCCTCTGACCAAAAAATCAACTTCATCGCGACCACGGGTGCTGCCAGTAAAATCATTCACCCACCCGAAGATCTCAGTCTGGTAAGTTTCGAACCACCTTTTCAGCATTTGGACAGCTCGTGGATCACCCGAGACAGGGTCCTAGAGGCTGATATAGAAAAGACCGAAACTATAATTAGCTCCATTCCGTCGTTTGCAGGAAGAGATTCGGGCGAGATTACCGAAATACCAGCGTAGACAAAACGAGGACTCGCGGTCGAGTCAGCAGGAGGCTGCCCAGCAAGCGGCGGCCCTGCAGCAGCACCAGCACCAGCAGCAGCAGCAACAACAGCAGCAGCAGCAGCAACAACAGCAGCAACAGCAGGCTGCCGCGGCAACAGTGGCCGCGTTCCAAGATCAGCAGCAGCGACAGCAGGCCGCGTTGAGCGCTCTTCAGCAGCAACAGCAGCGATTTCAAAGGCCCCCTCAAGCAATGATGGTGCCGGCTTCGGCAGCGATACCAGTCAGTTCCGTAGCGCTTATGGCACCGCTTATGCGGCCAACTATGACCCTGGCTACACCTGCGCTCATTCACGGAGGTAACATGATGCGACCGCCCCCCATGGGCCTGCCACCAGGTAAGTTTCCGCCATGAGTACCGCCCTCCTGCCCTTCCGTCACGTTGAGTCCGTCCTTCCCTCGTTTCCCATCGTGGTCGTCCTCGTCCTCGTCCTCGTGATCCACACGTTTGTTGGAAACATTTTTCACGCCACTCGTGATTACTCTGCGGCCAAACCCCTGCCATCCAAACGAATAAATTCTATATCTGGCGGACAGTGATACGATTTAACGTAGTCGTTCAAAACGTTACTTGTCTCCGATAATTCGGAGCATTGTCCTATGCGGAGAGGATCGATTCGTTCGGTTTAAAAGGACCCGATTCCGACATAATCCGCTTTAATTCTCTCCCGTCCCACCACTCTCGTATCCTGTGCGTTCCGTAAGTTCCTGTTAACGCGTAGCACGCGTATACCTCGGACACATAAGGTACATGTAACCGTCCCAATTTCTGCACGATCTTAACGTTAGGTCGCAACTACGATAACCGCACGTTAAGTGGCTTTGGTTAATCCTCGTTTCGGCGTAATCTAGCGGAAAGATAAATCTGGTTATCGCGGTCGGGGTGTACCGACCCCCGTATTCGTTGAAGCATTGAGCGCGTAGGCGTTAATTATTGTAAACGAACGCATTCCCATCAGGTAAGTACGTGTACATCTTGATTGTGTTAACTCGGTTGACTCCGTGGGTCCCACGTGGAGAAGGTAATTTTGCAAAAAGGTAATTCTTTAGTAATATCTATCCGCGCGCAAGGCGAACGCTCTCGAGTTTTGCTCCTTCACCGGGCGAGTTACTTTCCCATCCGGAAACTTCACGATAATTGAGTACCGTGTATTCAGTCGAAGAGAATCCGGCGTTCCTCGTTAATGCAGAACACCTACGTTTTTTTGAACCCAGAGAAAGAGTTATTTAATCCGGGGCCCCGTCGAACATACGAGCATGGTGTGGCTGTAGAACGTCAGCATGTAACTCTACTTAGATAAGTGTATAGTACGTGGTACGTAACACTCTCGATATGTATTCTCACTCTCTCCGTTTCTCTAGAGCCACCAAAAGTCACAGCGTGCTCGTACGGGAGCCGACGACGCGGTCTCCGCTCGGCGTTGCAGGGTCCCGGTTGCACCTGCACCACGACCGAGCGGAGGATCCTTGCTCGTAGCCCGGAGGGTATCCCCTAAGACCACCCCCACCCGACCCCGAAGAAGGCGCGAACTCCATTGACCTACCCGTGGTTTCGTATTTTCCAGGGATGATAGGAGCTCTGCCGCCGGGCGCGATGCACCCGGCCTTCGCCACTCCCATGGGGTTCCCGGGCGCCCCGATGCTGGCACCCATGATGCACCCTCGCTTCAGATGATCGCCTCCGACGGACGGGCCCGAACCGCCGTTGCACTTCGTGCTTTGGGCCCGCCCTTAACCAGGTGTACTCAGGGAGTCCCCAGGGTGGCCCCGGGGTATGACCCGGGGGGTCCTCGGGGTGTCCTAAGGGTGTCCTCGGGGTTGCCCGCAGCCGCAGCCGCCGCCGCGACGAGACAACGCCGGCCACGCCCGAAGATCCTCTCCCACGTTAAGACGAAGTTAGCAAAATCTTTATGTTTTTCTTATTAAAATACGAGCAAAGACACGCCAGTTCTACGGGTAGAGGCGCCGCGGCCAAGGGAGCCCTAGGGGCCTCGTGGCGCTTGCCTCCTGGAGAGGGGCAAGATCGCGGATGGGTGGCGAACCCGCGCTGCCGGCACCCCGAAGGGGACGACCCTCCCTCCCTTCTGCCGGCAGCGTCGTGGCCTGCCGCCCCAGGTTAGTTTCTGCCACATTTTATTTAGTATCACACCCCTCGGGTCGAGGCGATCCCTACGCTGCCTGCCGTCTTCGGCGAGCGACCGACCCGCGTTGACGATTTTATTCGACGGAACGTCCCCAGGAGTTTGGGTACACTCCGAGGACGGGACCTCGCGCCTCGCCTCCTGCGGTTTTAGTATGTGAAAGTCTCCTTTCGCGTTTCGGTTTTCCCAGGTCGATGGGGATTGAGGCTCTGCCCTAGGAGGCGGACTCCTAGATTCCAATGCCGGTGGTACTTAATAGACTCGTGAGAAAGGACGGAGGCGAGGCGCCGGGTTCGTTCTGCATTTGAGAGTCTTCAGAAATTTCTGCCCATTTCTTTTTCTCTTTTTTTTTTTTTTTTTATTACGGGGTATCGCGAATTTTAGTCACGCGGTTGGTCGCTCGCGTGGCTTCCGATCAAGAGTCTTATGGGAGGAAACTTCGGAAGCCGGACTCGAGATGGCGGCGACGACGACCTGGAAAACGGAAGTGGGATCGACTCGACCCGAATGTACTGCCTTTCCTCGGAAGAAACGTGTTGGCGACGCATGAGTGAGTGGTAAGTACGGAGAAGGGTGCTCGCAAGATGGGTCACCGACTCTCTAAGCTCGACTCGACTCACGCCGTTCACCCACCGCCTCTCTCGCCTCGGTTTATTATTATTTTTTTCTCTCTCTCTCTTCCTTTGTTTCTCTCTTTCTCTCTTCTGTCTCGTCATCTCTTCTCATCTCTTCTTTTCTACAGCTTCCCTCTGCTTGTACCGTCAGGCCTCCCCGCCCTGGCTGGACCACGCCTAGTGACTCCTCTATCCCTCGTCGTCGGAGAGTGTCTCGTATGAACATTACGTGGACTCAAGGGGCACCCGGCGAGGAGGCACGAAGACGAGAATCGGTCGATTACTAGACCGGCTAGAAATGGACACATCCGTTTTTGGGTTTCTCCGGAAGCTGAGGAGAAGCGAGAGCTCCCTCCCCTTGAAGCGACGCAATGCTCATCCGAGACATCGTCCGCTCCTCGTGGACGATGAGATGGGGTCACTGGTATACGCGGCTCGTCCTCCTTCGTACCCTGAGCTCATACCTAGTATCCGTCCCGCCCTCTCCAGTGCTGCTCTCAGAATGCTCATGATATTACGCAGACGTAACCGCGCGCTACTGTAAATGGGTCGTAAAAGGTAGTTGCAAGTTTCGGAGGATCAACGATGGGCTGCATCCGTTGACGCGATTTTAGGGGAAATTTGAGAGACCGCCGAGGCGACTCGTAGGGGGTTCACGGGATTGCCCGGATCTCGCGATCAGTGGTGGCCGGAAATCGGCGAGTTTTACGATCCATTTCTCATATTGCGTCGAGTCCATTTACTCTCCTCCATTTTCCGCCAGAGATGGGCGAACGACTGCGACGAGTTATCGGGTTGTCCTCTTCGACCGCTTCGGTCCTGGTCCCGATCTCGGAATTTTATCGTTGTCGCGAAACCTCTTCCGGTCTTCTCCAAGGTGGAGAACGGCTTCGTTCGATCCGTTCTCCGGGTCGAGTCTCTTATCCAGACAACCTGCCTAGAGTAGAACTGGCCGACAAGGACGAAATTGATTCTCGAAGTGCTGATAAAGAGACGGTAGATTCGCGTTCGGCTGCGCCCGTCCCTGGTCAACTAACCTCACCTGCAGATATCCGCCTGTTCGCTTTACTTTTGACTGTCTACCGGACTGCCTTTCGGTCCGTCTGTCTGTTAGTCCGTGCATCTAACTGTCCAACTCTGTCCGGTAACGGTCCTCCTATTTCCCCCTTGGAAACGCCCTAAACGCCTCCGAAATCGACACTCTCCGATAACACCGAACGCCGCGTAACACGCGTACGTATTTGCCTACGCATCGTTGTTATAAAGTTTTCTTTGCAACGGTTGTCTTTCCGAATCGCCGCTATTGACGAAGGAACGACGGATCGATCGTTTCGTAGCTTCCGGGTTATTCTAGCCCTCGGCGAGCCGGAAGCGACGCTCGTCCTCCCCGCGACCTCCTTCCGGAATTATTACATAAATTGATGCACCCGTCCCTTGACAAGATGGTCGTCAATAGTGTTCGCGAGATCGATGAATTAGCTGGATAAAAATCCTTACTCATATATATATTTTTTTTTTTTTCCAATGAAACGTGCCCATATAATCCAGGAAACCGTTGAGCTAAAAATTCAGGATCCCCGTTCGGATTTTTGGGAGAAATTTGAAAAACTAGGGGAAAAAAGTTAAAGAAATAAAGGGGGAGGACACGGAGAGAGGAGGTCGACCGAGCGCGCAGATTCGGCAGGACAATCCCACGACAGAATTGGTCATGTAGAGATTCTGTTATTTATTATTGAGTGTCACACTATCGACTGTTCCGAATAAAGACGTTCTGTGGAAAGCTCGAACGATTGGGCATAGCCTGCCGTCCTGGGAAGCGGCGCGGAAATTTCTTTTCCTCTCCTCGCTCGGGAATTCCGCTCCGAAACGTCCGCTCGACGGATAGGACTTATCCGAGCCGACTTTGGGAACGATTTGTGCGCGCAGGGATCCGCGGCACCGATGTCGAGTTTTCCCAAGACGGCGGGCGACAGCCACATATTGTTTCAACCAATCACAGCTGTCACCGCTGTTGGACCTCACCGGTCCCTTGCCTCGAGGCAGGCGATTGTTTGGACCTACCGTCGTGGAGTTGAGACGGCTCGTTTCCTCCTAGGATGGGCCCAGGGATGGCAACTACCCCGCCGAGAAGGGACGCAAAACGGCGCTCGTCCCTCGCTTTCCGCAAACCCCGGGCGCGCGACGGAAACTCCCAGTGGCGGAGCGACTCCGCTAGCGAGGCCGCTTCCGATGCGCGATGCGCATCCCTAGCGCGGAGGCGGTTACATTATTCTTTCGCTTTCACTCTCTACCTCCTCCGCGTGCACATTTCCTATGTAACGCGTAACGACGATTTTGCATACGTAAAGTGGATCCGCACGTGCGAGGTATCGCGCGCAGGTTGCCATGCGTAGGTGCCATCCCTGGTTGCTCCCTTTTGCGAGCGTTTATGGCCGAGAGAAGACCCGGCCACGACTCCGGACTGTTTGGGATGACATCGAGGATGCCGATCTCGGCTCGACGTACGCGTGGCTGGACCGAGAAACAATATTAATGGAAGTAGCGAGTCGCGTCCTCGGCGACCGGATTGCCGGCTCCGCCCGAGCGCCTCGGCCGACTCGAGCCCTCCGAGGGTGGTCGGCTCGAGAGCACCAAAAGCGGCCTCGAGAGGTCCTAGATTTTTCTCGGCGCTTCCCTTGCATCCCCCGGACTCCGGGGTCGATGATCCTCCGCAGTCCTTCCCGCGGAAGGGCCGGGGAAAAATATTAAATATGGACATCCCGGTGCGACGCTTCTTCGTGCCCCGCGGAGACGCCGCAATTTTCTATCCGAAATAGCGAGGTTACGATTGCGATATCGTACGCACATAGGTGCAACGTCTCCGCGTAGCATGGAACGAAAATCAAGCTTTCCGGATTCCTGGTCAGATCCGAGAAGGTACAGAGCCCAAGATCGGCCTTTTCCCAGGCGGGAGATCCGTGCCCCGATCGATGGTGATCCTCGCCGATCTTAGCCGATCCCCCCGACGATCCTTGCCGATCCCTGATCCGATACATCGGGGACGAGAAGATCCGCCTCGAGCGTTCGTCGAGACTCCGTGAATTCCTCCTGTCGCCGACGTAAAAAGGTAATCGGGTGGAGCGGCGAAGCCTCGCCTTGGCTTCGCCTTGCATCAGGTACGTACCGGCTAAGACTACCATTTCCTATCTTTGTTTGGTCCCCAGACCTCGGTGCCTACTCCCAATGGGCTTACGCGAAACCTGCGGTTTATTTTCAATCGGCAGGTATTCCGGTCGGCGATTGGTTAAAAATGCCCGATCAAGCCAGCTGGGAAATTAAATTTCATCTCGGCGAGAGGGACACCTCGAGCGAACTCGGATTAATTAATCGGCTCGTGGAAGTGAAGGCGAATCGGAAATATTTCTTCTGGGGAATTTATGCCGCGTAAAGCCATTTCGAGTAGACCTCTTGGTTTGCCCTTGTCGATCCTAACCGGCGATCGCCTTTGACGGAAAGGCAAAGGCCATTTGACCGGCTGCTTGAGACTTGACTTAACGCTTCGGCCTTGCGGAATGCACTTGTCGCCGAATTGCGCAACGGATCCCTCGGAAAAGTCCTCGTAAAAAGTCTTCAAAGTGAATTTACGATTTCACCGCGGATAATATTTATTTCACGCGACGCCCGAGTGATTTATATGTATTTTTTTTCTTCGAGTTGCGTAAACTCCGCCACGCGATAACGCGCGCATCCTCTACTCTTTCCGACTGCACTCGGCGTGGATAATTGATAAGAAGATACGATTCGCTTCCTATCGGCGTTTTACGCGACTCGCATTCGCGAAAACTATCGCAAAAGTTCGATAAGCTCCCATTAAAGGTCTCCGATTAGACCGTCGGTCGGCTTGCGCATGGAGTACACCTCTGTTACGTCTTTTTCCTCTGTTTCTATCTATAATTCTCTGTCCTAGACTTTTGTGGCTTTTTATTTTCTGCCGAGTCTTGACTCGTCTCCTTTAAGTGTTCGTTAACGCAACGGGAGGTCTAGACCACTCGGCGGTTGCTTAATTAATTTGCAGGATGCTAGATCGGCGGGCGACTGATCACGCCCACAAGAATAAACGCATTTAACTGGAAATACCGAGAGACTGTTATTTCTCCCAGCCATTCTTGCTTAGATGCGTTACACTTCCGCCTTGAGCATCGACGGCCTTCGGCGATGGGAACGATCGCCACTTTCGATTTTACCGGGGGACTCCGAAAGGCCGTCGAAACGAGAAATCTGACAAAAATAAGGAACACGAGAATACTGCGGGGAAAAAAACTTGGGGACATTGTTTATTTTTATTTTTATTTTTACTCGTGGAGAATATGCCATTCACGTCTCAAGTTGCGGTTTGTGCGTTTCTACGTATGTCGCCGTTTGCACTTCCGAGAGGCCAGAATTAGAAACTCTTATGCGTCTCGGCGACACCCAAGGTGAACCAGAAACCGTGTATGTGTTCTCGTTAAATGTATACGAGTCGATTACGTCAACCCGAACGGGTAATGGATCAATTGCCGGAGACGTTTTTCAAACGTCGGAGGTACCGTTACCGCGAAGTAAATGCAGTTTACCTGGGAGGAGGTCTCGGGGGGTCTCGGAATGAATCCCCACGTCTGTGCGGTAAAGGTATAATGTCCCTTGGGTTGAAAGCAGAGGAGAAGCGCTCGGTATTCCACGCACCGCATTCCTGGAGTACCGAGTAAAGGTGCAGATAGGTGCAGTACAATGTAATGTCAAAGGTGTGCCTCGTCCGATAATCTACCGTACCCTGCGCAGCGAGAAACAAATAACCATCCGCGGTAAATGGAAATTAAATGAAGTGTCGCGAGACGGGAAAATGCGGGAAAAAATGGTATACGAGGATAAGGCGACAGTTTCACAGGTAACACCCGTGCCCTTCTCCGAGCGGCCTCCAGGTGAGTCCCGCGGCGCATGTATCCAGGAATGTATCGATACGCGGGCATGCTCGCGATATTTTTCCAAGGGGAAAAATCGACGGGGAGAAAAATAAGCGGAGCCGAGTAAACGCTTGTCACGGGCGCGATCTACGCCGGCCGCTCGCTCGATAGTCCCCGGGAGAGCGAGTCGAAGGCGGCACCTTCCACCTTCCACCTTCCACCTTCGAGCGGTATACCTGTCGGCACTGGGCACGGAACCTCGGGCAAACCCGTGCCAGCCGGCCAGCCAACTTTCTACCGTCCGACTTGCTCGTTGTCAGTCAGTGAACCGCCGATCGAGCGCGAGCCGACTCTTTCGCCCCCGGCTCCCGAGATAAGGACCCGCGATATTTCGAGCCCTTTTGCGCCGGAAGGTGCGAAAAGCGGAGAAAAGACGGACCAGGAGTCGCCGCAGGGGGCCTCGTCCTTTGCAGGAGTCCCGGACGCGGCCGACGAAGGGAACGCCGCTGGGTTGGGCTCGGCCCGCCAAGGCCGCTGCGAGTGCGAGAGAGACTCCTTGCGCCCGCGGTACGCGAGCGCGAGAGAGAGGCAGAGGCTCGGCTAACGGAGGTTCTCGCCGGTCCGCGCCGAACGGCGCACCCGACTGCGACAGTCAACCAAATATCTTCGAGAGCGATAATAAGGGTACGTTATAGAATCCTAGAGAAAATTCAATTATGCCCGAGAATGAGACTCGAACCTGGGACCTTGCAGAATTTCTTTAAGAAATGGACGGGTTGGCACCGGGAAGGCGCGAGAGATCGCGCGAAGAACGTAATAAAGAACTTTGACGGGGTCCTTTGATCGTCGACGGGATTTATGTCGAGGGGAAAAAATTCAATGGGAGAGTCTCGCTGAAATGACTGGAAATATCGGCGAATGGAGGGATATTGCGTATTCGCCGAGCGTCGCGACGCCCGTTGAATAGGGAACTTTCGATGCAGGTCGACGTGCCGGCTTTCCGGGTGCACGAGATGTATATTCAGGGGACGTTCAACTCGAAAGGTCGCAGGTTCCGCTGAAATACTACGCGCTTTATTTATGCTCTTGTTTCATTTCGATACATTGGTCTCTTCCGGTATAGAGGTGAAGGAGAACGAGGAAGGCGTTCCTCGCCAGCCGAAGATGGCTACCCCGAGGAGGTCGGGGCCATCGGGGAATTTTTTCCTGCCCCTGGTTTGGCTCCTCCTGGTCGGGGTCGCTAATCGGCGCACCCTCGCCATCGACAATCTGAGGGTCGCCTTCCAGTGGAAGGAGCTCGACTTCGAGGACCCCCCTTCGGGGAAGATCCTCGATCTTGTCCCTGGCTACAAGAGGGAGGAGAACCTGCCTCTCGGCATCGAAGTCACCGAGGACAGACTCTTCGTCACGGTGCCGAGATTCAAGCGCGGCGTCGCCGCCAGTCTCAATTACTTCAGACTGAACGGTGAGAGTCGCTGACGAAATCCTCGACAATGGACAGAAACGCCGGGATCGTTCCTCGAGAGATCGGTTACGGTCCTATCGAGGTCAATTTCTGCTAGCCAATCTAGAAGCGGCGCGATAACGGCGTCTACGGGGCGAATCGAATATTAGAGCGTCCAGGATGCTGCTGTCAATGCTCCGTCATTTTTATCAAAGCCGGTGCGTTTTTCTTTTTAGACTCCAGGACGTCACCGCCCATGATTCCCTATCCCTCCTGGGAGGCTCACAAGCAGACCTCGGGGTCGGTACCGGAAGTCGTATCCACCTTCCGCGTCCGAGCCGATCGCTGCTCCAGACTGTGGGTCCTGGATACCGGTCTCTCGGATATCCTGGGTAGTCCCGAACAGGTGGTTCCTCCGGCTGTTCTGATCTACGACCTGAAGACCGACCGACTGCTCCGGAAATACGCCATTCCGGCCGACCAGCGAACCCAGGACTCCTTTTTCGCGAATATCGCCGTCGAGGATCAGTCCTGTGAGGATGCCTATGCCTATCTAGGCGATCTGGGAGGTCCTGGGCTGGTGGTGTATTCCTGGAAGAGTAACAGCTCCTGGCTGGTTCGACATCACTTCTTCCATCCGGACCCCCAGGTTTCCGTTTCCTTTTTAACTGAATTCGATGGTCCATCGGTTGATGGAAGTAGAACAGGCTTGGAACTTGCAGGTCACTTTGAGAATTTTATTCCTCAGGGTGGAGAATTCAACGTATCCGGCGTCACCTTCCAATGGACGGACGGGATCTTTGGCCTGGCTCTTGCTCCTGCGAAAGATGGCTTCAGCACCCTTTACTTCCACCCCCTCTCCAGCACGATGGAATTCTCCGTCGACACGAAATTGCTGCGAAATTCTGAGCTGGTTAATTCCCCAGGTTGGTGCACCAGAAGCATTCGACTTCCCGTTCCTACCTATCGGTAGACCGGATAAAAATTCCTTGTTGCCGTTTGCAGAGAGCTTTCACGAGTTCCGGATTCTGGGCTCGAGAGGACCCAACGGCCAAAGCGGAGTCAGCTTCCTCGACCCTGAAACTGGGATTCTGTTTTACTCCCTCGCTAATTTGAACGCCATCGCCTGCTGGAAAAGCGGGACGAAGTACGAGATAAGACAGCAAGGCCGGGTGTACATGGACAACGTCACCATGGTCTTCCCCAACGACCTCAAGGTATCCTTAACTTGCACACCAGGATTTCTCTCGAGGAACACTTTTAACCCTTTTTTTATTCCTCGCGATTTTCAGGTCGATCGGAAAGGAAACGTCTGGGTGTTGTCCGACCGCCTGCCGATCTTCATGTATGGACAGTTGGACCCGGAAGACTACAACTTCCGAATCCTGACGGGATCTGCCTTGGAAGCCGTTCGAGGCACCGTTTGCTTCTCGGAAAGCTTAGCTATCACCACCGACAGGTCGCTGATGACTTCCACTAGAAGAAACCCATCTGTAAAAATTGGTTCCGGGGGAAACGAGCCGAAGACCTCCACCCTCAGCTTGCTGATGACCCTCTTTGCTGCGTCCTTACTTTATTCCTAGTTGTCGCATGCTAGCCGGTTGAAAAGTGCAAAAACTCTCTTCTTGCGGCTCCTTTGCTCCTCCAGAGACGACGGAGCTCGAGTTCTTGGTGCTTTCTGTGGCCGGCGCGGTAATGACTAAGGGTTCAATTGTAAATTGTGCATACAGTCTTGTAAATGTTTATTCCGTCTTATTTATGTTCCTTCTTCTCTGTGCTGTAATTATGCCTCGCCGTTCTCAAATTAACCGTTCCGAAGCCTACTTATCGAAGTGCACCTACGTAAGTAGCGGCCAGTCGTGAAAGGTAATTGTAACTAGTGTGAAATAAATGCGGTATTATAATTACCAGAGATATTTGGTTACCGATTAAATTCGCTTGGTCGGGTCACAGAAGGCACGGATTTCTTCTTCGAGCTTAACCCCGAAAAATTCATGTAGGAAATATTCAGCATTCCGTGGTCATTTTTTTTTTTTCACGCTGATGATACTTCGTGAATTTATTCCATTCGCAGCGGGATATTGCCAGGAATTGCCTAAGAGTTCGAAGGGCAGCGATTGCAGTATTTCCTTGTTGTGGTGACCGAGACGATTAGGCAAACCACGTTGACCTGCATCTCAATTGTAATTTCGTGAAGGTGCATTTTCGCAATAATCGCCCTTATTATTTATTACGCTGCGCTTTACGTCTGTTAATTACGAGATGACTCGTAAGTGCAGCGGGTAAATGTGCGAGTTCATTATTTGTGACCGATACGGATGCCCCTCCTTCATGTTGCGTCGAGCTTGAACTCGATATCACTTCCCGAGGTTATCAAAAAAGAGTTACATACACGTGAAGAACTCCTACTGTGAATCACGCAGTGTGATTCGTGCTCGCATTCGGTGAACGGTGACAAAATATCCGCAAAGCCTCCACTCAATGTTGAGATTTCTCGTTTGACGATAATTTATTTAAAACTTGTTTTTTTTTTTCTAGTTCCTGCATAAATAGCGACGAGAGGGGGAAGTACATAAATGCTGCGCAAGTGATAGAAGAGTATACGCGCGGTTAATCCAGTTTCCAGCGAAATATGGTGTATTCAAAATTCGAAAAGTCATTAATTAGAGTACCGGGCCTCGCTTATCTGCCGGCTCGCGATGATGGGTTTGCAACAGGCGAGTGAAAATTTTCAAAAATACCAATTTTTGTTTATCCCTACAAAAAGTGCTCGAGTCCTTGAATAGTTATATTTGCTCATCGCACTTTTCAGGGGCAGGATTTATGAAGAGCAGAAGAGAAACCGACGGGGCGGAGGACCTTTGGCGAGTTCAAGACAAATTGTACGATTTAAACGGATTCGCCAGTTTTCATCCAGGAGGTGCCGAATGGATTCGCCTCACCAAAGGGACGGACATAACCGAAGCCTTCGAGGTGACTCGTCAACGTCTCCGGGAACGTTTCGATACCGGAATATCCCGATTTTTTAATTATCGGTCGATGCCTCTATTGATATTTTTAATTAAAGGTACACCACCTGACGGACAAGGCCGAGAGGATGCTGCCGAAATTTTACATTCGCGACGCCAAGACCCCCAGATCCGTTCCCTTGACATTCGAGACGAACGGATTCTACAAAAGTTTCAAAAGGCGAGCGGTGGAAGCGTTAAAAGACGTGAACATCCACCGTCCATCGACGAGGTCTAACGTCGTCACCGATAGTATCGTCGCATCGACGGTGACATTCTGCGTCATGGCAGCATTTTTCCAGTCGTGGATCCTGGCTGCCATTGCCGGTGAGTCCTTGTCGACATAAAAGTCTGTAGGATTTAAAAAATACCCTGACGTTGAGCCTCCTCTTCTCAGGACTCTTCCTCGCGTGGACGGCATCAGCAGGACACAATTATATGCACATGAGGGACAACTTCAGGATGTACTACATGGACCTCTGCTTGCTATCCTCCAAGCTGTGGAGAATTACCCATGTGTTGAGCCACCATATGTATCCAAACACTCATTGGGACTATGAGATATACGCCTACGAGCCCTTCATTCAATGGCTGCCCGCCAAAGACAAGTCTTTGATTGCGAAGTTCCTCCCCAAGTTGGGCAGTCCCTTGATTTGGTCGATGACGTTCTTCCAGCAAGGAGTCCAGAGGTATAAAACCATTTAATTAAATTTAAGCGATTAATCTCTTCATCAAGGAGGCTCGTTCACGTATGAACTGCTTCCCCGTTCTCCAGGATCGTCTGCGCGATTTTCGCATACGGGGTGGTGGAGTTTCGCGACGTCGTCCCTTTGATCCTTCCCTTATCCATGTACCTGGTGACGTCGAGTCTGCTGATAACGCTCAAAACCTGGTTCCTGGTGATCCTCTTCGGCGGCTTCTTCTTTGGCTTCATCGGAGTGAACGCGGCCCACCATCACCCCGACATCTTCCACGAGGGAGATATCTTCAGGTACGTCCTTCGAGATAAAAAAAGTATATGACTAGTTCCTAAGTCCTATCTTCAGGTCCGACTTCGACTGGGGCCTCTTCGAGATGGACGCCGTGAGAGACCGAAACGTGATCGACGACTCGCTCGTCCTGACCCTGATGAGCTTCGGCTCCCACGGGCTGCATCATCTTCTGCCCACGGTCGACCACGACTATCTCCCGCTCTGCTACCCGGCCTTCCAGGAGACGTGCAAGGAGTTCGGAATCGACTGTACCAAGTGGAACTACTGGACCCTGGTCGGGGGGCAATTCGAGCAGCTCGGCAGGGTGGAGCCGAAGAAGAACTGGCGGTAGATCCGGGGGCCTAAAACCGAACAAAGTCCAGGAATAGCGTCTTCTCGGGTCACTTCCAAAAGCCCAAAGGCATCGGAACCTACGTACGTTCATTGACTCCCTTTTCCGGAATTCCGACCAGAGGGTCGAGGGGTCGAATCCAAGCAACGTCCAAGTGTGTGTCTACTCTCAAAATGCATTTATTCAACACCTTCGGGATGCTCAATGGACATCCAAGAGTATCGAGTGCACGCCCCGTCGTCCGGAGAGCGTTCGCCGGACGTCCACGGGGGATCGAACGTTTCCTAGAGGCTCTCAATCCGCAGATCGATGTTTCCAGCCGTGGGAGTTCCCGGTGGGACCATCCCCCGCGTACCTAACACCCTCCGGTTTTCGCGCTTCATACGTTACCAGCAGGATGAAAACGGGTGCACGCACGTTTATTGGGTTTTACAGTCGCTTGCGAGGGTACATGTAAACATACAGAACATTGCCACGGCATCTCGATACTACATATGTACATACACGTCGGTGGGCGACCGAGGGATCCCCTGGGAAGGGTCCCCGGGACCCCTGGGGTCCTCGGGGACTCTTCCGGGCCCTCGCGGGACCGACCGGGACACTTTCGGTTCTATTCCGCGTCCAGCTTGCACCGCGCACCTTCCGTACATATTACGGGATTGAGTTCTTACCTTTACCTTTTTATTGCTTAGTTACTTTAATAAATACATATTGCGTAGTTTATAAATTAAATTACTTCATATAGGATAGGACAGTGTATCCGCGCGGTGACGACAATAGCGTTCGCTCGTGCCTGTTTTCAATAGTGGATTCGCGTTTCCGTGCGTGTCCCGCCTGTTTATAAGTATATATGTCTCCCTCTTCGTTCGACTTCCTGTAACTCCTCTTCCGACGTGTCCCTCTTCTCTCATTCTCGTTCTCTCTCATTCTCTCTCTCTCTCTTTCTTTCTCTCTTTCTGACGCTGTCCATGTCCTCGTCCTTCCGGGGAGCTGCTCGCCGTCCGTCCGTTTCGTCGCCCTCGTTCGGCGAGTCCTTCGTCGTCGTTTCGTCGTTCTCTAACGACCTTTGTCTCGATTTAGGTAGGTCGAGGTCCGATCCGGCCGCTGTTTCTCCTCGAGGTCCTCTTCAAGGATCCTCGAGGTCGGCGGCGCTGCTTCCAGAACGAAACGGACGCACGTGCTTCGGCTCCTCCTTCATTTCTCCCTTTGTTTTGTCGGTCAATCGGTGATCGCTCGGGCGCGGTGGAAGAAGGACGAGGCTTCTCGATGAGGATGTCGATCTGTCGCCGGCTTAGAAATCACCATCGGGCTGTAGGTCGAAGCGTGGCGGGAATGCGGAACCGTCGAGCTGGGGTTTGAACGCAGGTCGGTGTGGCTGTAAAGAGGAAGAGAAATTCATTTAGACCACCTCGTGACAATCTTTTTTTTTTTTTCTAGGAACTTCCAACTCGGCTGGACCGCTCGAGTGCAAGACGGTTAGACGTCTCTCCCTGGAAACTGCACACAGAGACAGGGCAAAGGGGGTCTTCGACACGCTCGCTGTGTCTTTTCCCGTCGCCTCCGCCGTTCGGGGCAAGGGAGGGGGGAGAAAAATTGACAAAAATCCGCAAAAGTTGAGAAATCTCCCCGAGGACCTCTATCGCGACCCACGGGCTAGTGATGGTTCGGACGGTGTGAGAACGATCGCTCGATTTCCCCAGAAAATCGATGGAACGATGGACCAGGGAGATGCGAGCTCTATCGTGCGCAGTGTGCGTATGTGCGTGTGTGCGTACTTGCGTCGACGGGGATATACATGTATATGCATGTATAGGGGGAGGTGCAATGTACGCCAGCGATGAGACACGATGAGACACACAACCACACACGCACGCACCCCGTCTACGTAAACGCACTTACATGGACCGGCGTTAGCGGGCTACTCCAGGGTGGGCGCCTTGCGACCCTTCTGGTTCTACATGGGACATACAAGGAAATCATTCGTCAGTCCCGCGTTACTTAGCCTGCAGCTAATCGTAACAGGTGTCTCTTTTCCATTTTCCCCGGTTTCCTTCATCCCTGCGCTACTATTGGGGCAATTAATGTTAACCCGACCTAACCGGGACCAGGCGAGTTTCGGTTCTCCAAGGTACCCCTCGAAACGAGGTCGTTATGGGCAGAGCGATAAACCGAAAATGTGAGCGTCGTGCTCAAGATACCGTTTGTCGCTTTGCACGTAACAGGGTGTCTTTGGAGAACGTGGGGCGTCGCATGAGAACGGTGCCTTAGGTCGCCTTAGGTTCTACCTCTTCAGGGGTAAACCTGCTTACCGCTGGGCTGAGGCCACGGGTTGCGCTTCCTCCGCGCCCTTTGGTGCGGAACTTGGTGATCGCCTGTTCCGCGAGGTCCGCCCTCTCTTCGGCTTCTTCCAGCTCCTGTTGCGCCTTGCGGAATTTCGCAAGGTTCAGCGCGGCGATTTCCTCCGCCTCCTCGATCTGCCTCTTGTACGTCTTGATCTTCTGCTGCAGCTTGTCAACCAGGTCTTGCATGCGCTCGTGGTTCTTGCGGTCCTCGTCAGCCTGAAACGTGAGAGGTGACGGTGACTTTCTTCAAGGTATACCCCGGATGGGCCATGTTATAGTCGACGTCGATCTCCGTACCTGGAAGCTGAGCTCCTTGATGCGGCGCTCCGATTTGCGGAGGTTCTTCTGGGCGTCGGCATGCCTCCTCTGTTCTCCGTCGAGTTCGTTCTCCAGCTCGCGGACGCGCTGTTCGAGTTTCTGGATGGCCTTCTTGCCTCCCTTCAGGGCGTTGGCCTCGGCCTCGTCGAGGCGGACCTGGAGCTCCTTGATTTGCGTCTCGAGGGCCTTGCGCAGCTTCTCCTGGGTCTGTGCGTGATCTTGTTCCGCCCGGAGTTCGTCGGCCAATCGGGCTGCGTCCACCATGGCCTTCTTCGCCTTCTCCTCGGAGTTCTTCGCCTCGTTAAGCAGCTCGTCGAGATCGGACTGCGAAAAGATACCGATTAAACTCATCTCCCTCTTCCCCGGGTACCAAAAATCGCTCCGTAAGTTTGCTTAAAAATTTTCTTTTCAAACTTACGGAACGAGACGTGAGAGTCGACTTACGTGCAGCGTCTGGAGTTCGGCCTCCAATTTCCTCTTGGCTGCCGAGATGGACGCGTTTTGGGCGCTCAGCTCGTTGAGTTGCTCGTGGGCGTCGCCGAGTTCCTGTTCGGCCTGTCGGCGACCGCGGTCAGCCTGTTCCAGAAGAGTGCGGCTCTCCTCGAGTTCGTTCTGCAGGGCGTTGGCGCGACGCTCGGAGATGCCGAGGAGTTCGCGAGCCTCGTCCCTTGCGCGTTGCTCCTCTTCCAGGGCGGTCTGCACGTCCTTCAGCTGCTGTTGGTACCGCTTGATGTTCTTCTGCGCCTCGGCGTTAGCCTTGTTGGCGTGGTCCAGGGCGATCTCCAGCTCGTTGATGTCGGCCTCGAGCTTCTTCTTCATGCGCAGAGCCTCTGCCTTGCCCTGAAGAGATGGTTCACGGACGACCGTTAAGTGATTTCGAAGAAGGTCGAGATCTCGACGACGAAAGCCCAATTTGAGAGTTCCTTACCTTAGCCTCCGCCTCGAGGGAAGCTTGCATCGAGTCGAGAGCTCGTTGGTGGTTCTTCCTCGTGTTCTCGAACTCCTCCTCCTTCTCCTGAATGCGTCGATCGATCTCTTGTCTGACCTGGCTGAGCTCGAGCTGACTGCGGAGGACCTTGTTCTCCTCCTGCTCGAGAGCGGCCTCGGCCTCCTCGAGAGCCGCCTGGAGCTCGTCCTTCTCAGCCTCCAGGCGCTTCCTGGCCTTCTCGATCTCGTGGATGTTGCGTCCACCCTCTCCGATCTGGTCCAGCAGGTCCTTGACCTCGTCGGCGAGGTTCTTGTTCTCCCGGCGAACGGCTTCCAGCTGTTCCTGGCTCTCCTCGTAGGCACCTGAAAAGGGCAAATGTCTCGTCATGGACCTCCCACCTCGACTAAGTATCTCAATAAAAAAAAATATATATAAAGAGGAACCTACCCTTGAGCCTGAAGAGCTCCGTGCTGTAGTTGCGGCACTCCTTCTGGCTGGCGTCGAGCTCGGCGGCGAGGTCGTCGACCTTGAGCTTCCATTCGCCGATGATCTTGTCGAAGGCCTTCTGCTTCTTCTCGGCGGCGTTGGCGATCGCCGTGGCGCGGTCGACCTCGAGTTGAAGATCCTCGACCTCGGTGGCGAGGCGCTGCTTCGTTTTCTCGAGGGCGATCACCTTCTGGTTGAGCGACTCGATGGTCTCCTCGGCCTCGGCCAGGCGAGCCTGGAGTTTGCGCTTGGCTTCTTCGAGTTCCTCGGCGCGTGCCACACCCTCGGACTCGTACTTCGTTCTCCAGAGCTGGGCCTCGGCGTTTGCCTTGCTCAGCTGCCTCTGGAGGTCGGCCTTGCCCTCGGCCTCCTCCTCCAGCTGCTCGCGGATGTTGTCCAAGTCGTGCTCGAGGTTGCGGAACTTGCCGAGGAGAGTGGCGCGTTCGCGACCCTCTTCGTCGGCCAGTCTCTTCGTGTCCTCGAGCTGGGTGGTCAGCGAGATCTTGATCTTCGAGAGCTGGCTCACCTGGGACTCGGCCTCCTCCAGCTGGCGGAGCAAGTCGCTGTTCTCGATCGACAGCTTCTTCTTGGCCGCGTCGAAGTCGTTCACCGTGCGGTTCACCTCCTCGAGCTTGACCTGGGCCTCGTTCAGCTGGTGCTGCATCTGCTTGGCGATCTTCTCCTGGGCGGCCTGGGAAAACATTTTCGTTAGTTCCCTTTGTCGACTTCGAAGGGAGATTCTCTTCGGAATCTGCGAGAAAGGATTAATTCTGCACGCTGCAAGCTTCGGGGTTACTCGAAATATTTTTGGACTGCACAAGGGAGGGTGGAAGGACTCTTCGGGGTTCCGGCTACGTGCGACAGGGGGTAGGGGTTAGACTCTCGCCCAGGGTCGAAGATTCTTCGGCTAAGCGACGTTAATTGCGGCTTTGATTTTTTTTTTCTGGAGCTTGTAGCCTTCCGTGGCTCTCTCTTCAGCTTCCGAAAGCTCTGCGAAGCCTTTTGCTAAGCTCTTCGGCGCACTTCCGGTGCCAACCGGGATTTACTTCGGCTTTACCTTCTCGTTGGTGAGATGGTCGACGGTCGCACGGAGGTCGTTCAACTCGCTGAAGTACTGAACCTTCTCCTTCTCGACCCTGTATCGAACATGGAAAGATACGAGACGAGGGGTTGATTAGACGCATTCTCGGTTTTTAGTCTTCAAGGTCTTCCCCCCGGAGAGTTCGTCTCGGTGCTTGAATGGGATGCACTATTAATGAGGTACTGGGGTGAAAAAAAAAAAATACACCGAACAATGTCAGGTGGGGCCACGAGGGCAAACTGATGCAACGTGTCGAACGAATACGAACAAGTGGAGTAACGCGTTCCAGAAAATATGAACGTTCACGGATCAGCCTTGTCGAGCCGAGATCTCTCGGTCCCGAATTTTGGGAAGCCGGAAGACCATCGGTTCGACATGGCGATCCTTCCGCTCGAGGTACATCGAACAAATCGGACGATCAAGGTAAATAAGAAACGGTGCAAGGGAACATCGTAAACGTTGCAAGAAAATCTCTGGGTCGTCGTTCTCTACCTTCTCCCTCGCGATCTGGTCGACTGCTGCGCGAGCATTGTTCAGCTCGTTGTGCATTTCGGCGCGGTTCTTTTCAGCCCTATTGAAAAGACGCGATTTTTTAAGAAAATTCGAATTCCCGCGAGGGTGGGTCAGCCCGACCAATGTCCCAGCTGATGCACATGCGTGATAGATCTCTTCATGAAATCGTGAAATCATGAAATGGCCTAATGCACGAGGCATGGCATAGCGTCCAGTCTTCCCGCGATTTGTCCTTTCGTCCGCCACCCCAAAGACCCCCTCGAAGAGATACTTGCCTAGCCTTGAGCTTGTTGAGCTGATCGATCTGCTCTCCCATCTCGGCGACGGCATCGTTGTGCTTCTTGCGGAGGTTGGCGAGCGAGGCTTCGTGCTGGATGTTGGCCTCTTCGAGGTCCCTGCGGAGCTTGCTGAGCTCGGCCTCCCTCTTCTTGTTGAGCTCGATCTGGGCAGAGGTGGCACCTCCGGCCTCCTCGAGTCTCTCACCCAGCTCCTCGAGTTCGCGGGCGAGCTCGCTGCGCTGCTTCTCCGCCTTGGAGCGAGCCTGGCGCTCGGCCTCGACCTTGAAGAAGCGATCAATCCGTCAGGATAAATCGCGCCAGGTGCCAGAGGTGTCGGCTTACGTCCGCGTTAATATCGGAAGATTATGCAACGATTTAAGACGCCAGGTTTCGGCTGGACGGGGCCGGTGCCAGCGCGGGCCGATTTAAATGGCCGATGTTTCACGGATAATATTAATAACCGCGGGTGACTAATCCTCTCACCTCTTCCTCGAGCTCCTCGATGCGCGACTGGAGTTCCTTGATCTGCTTCTGGCCCTTGCCCACGACCGACTGCTCGTCCTCGAGCTTGGCGGTCAAGGAGGCGAGCTCCTTGTCCTTGCGCTGGATGGTCTGCTCCAGCTCCTTCTTGTTCCTCTCGAGGTCGGCCACGGCCTCCTGGGTCAGCTTCAGGTCACCCTCGACCTTTCTCTTGGTCTTCTCTACGTCGCCGCTGGAAATTGAGGTCTCGTCAGGTTAGCAAGATCTTTTTCCACCGAGATATCGTTTGATTGTACTTTTAATACGTTTGTAATTAATTCTATTGCTCCTTACCGAAGTTTCTTCTCGCGCTCGAGGGAGTCTTCGAGCTCGTCAAGGGTGTGCTCCAGCTTGGTCTTGACTTTGTTGAGGTGGTTGATCTTGTCCTCGGCCGCCTGGAGCTCCTCGGCGGTCTTCTGGTTGACCTCGCCCTGGTTCTTCTTCTCCTTGTTCAGCTTGTTGATCAGCTCGTCCTGGTGGGCGATCTCGTCGTTCAGGTTACGGATCTGGTGGTCCTTCGTGGCCTTGTCCTGCTCGGACTTTTGGATGTTGAGCTCGAGGTCCTCGACGTCCTTCTTCAGTCCGGCGACCTCTTGCTCCAGCTTCTTCTTAGCCTGGAACAGCTGGTTCCTGGCGTCCTCTTCCTGCTGGAGTCTGTCTTGGGCATCCTGAAAAGGCGTACAAAAAATTCTTAAACATCCTTAAAACCCCTTCCGAGTCGGTCCCCGACCTCCGTGGACCGTTGCGACACCCCGGGAAGACCCTAACCTCCCATTCGCATTCCCTCGAAATTCATCGAACTCGACTGCCATTAGAGCTTCCGAAGTCATCCTGACTCTCTCATCTGGAAGATCCGATCCGGTACCAAAAAATGTAGGCGTTCCATCCCTCACCGATGGTCCGAAACTTGGAACGACCCAAGAAGATGCGTACACAGTTGCTTGCCGATTACCCTCGGCTAATTAATTCCCAAAGTATGCGACGAGTGCCAAGTGCTCCGAGGGAATCATCGTCGAGGAAGACTCGAGCCAAGAGGTCGCCGGGGACCTACTCGAGCGGATGACGCAGAGGGTCATCCCTCATCGGTACCTCCCCCGTCCTGGATCTGGTCACAGCCTATCGGGTTCATCTGGCCCCTTCCGAGTATCTTAACTCTCGAACTCTCCTTCCTGTCAGTATAAATACGCGCTACACCTGTTCCCTCTTTCGTTCTCGCCTCCTCCAGGGCCACGCCTACTTTTAATAACCTGGAATCCGCCGGCCGCCCGATATATTTAGCCCCGCCGTGCGGTCATATCCCCTTCTTCAGCTATACGCGAGCCGTCGAGCTCTCCGTAAATGGAGACCTTTAGTAGCCGATACCTCGAGTCGGCCCTAGATCCGACTTTAACGACTCGGGAGAAATCCGCCACCAGGGGTTGCAACTTCCGGAAATGGCGAGGTCGATTGAACGCTGCCAGGAAATTGAGGATACCCTGCACCGAGGTTCCAAAACCGGTACCGTTTCCTGGTGCGCGACGATCCAGGGACTCTGGAGAACCTGGTCGACCTGGTCCGAGAAGAGCAACAGCTGACGGAACGAGTAGATGGAACGATCGTCCAACGAGCGCTCGAATTTCAATTCTCGGCTACTGAGGACTTTCCTCGGGTTCTCGATATCCTTCCTTCGAGGAATTCCAAACAGCCGGTGATACGTGACTAAAGTCAGGAACGTGCAACAAATCCGGAAGCCGTAAATCCGTCTATGGGTCGTTTAAAAATGGACCCTCCCCCTCCGCCGAGCGTCGCGGGGGCGGACATTCAATGAATCTTCTTTCGGAGAGAGAGAAAAATATAATCCTCCCTTTCCAGCGGGCAGAAAAAAAAATCCCGCTGACAAAGATACGGCGCAGTCGGCGAAAAGCTATTTCCATGACGGTTCGCCGACGGAGGGGGTCCGGAATCCGCGACTCCAGACCGTCGACGGCGTGCCCCTTGATCTCGCTCTGGAATTCCTGGCGAATACACCCGCGCCGATGATATCTTTACTCGAGGTGGTCCCTCCGTGGATCTTTCGCACTTAGAGCGAGAAAGACCTGCCGAGAGAGAGAGGGGTCCCGCTCCAGCGTGAAACTCGACTCGGGTAATTTTAGACGGCGTTACGAGTCGCAGCAAAAATAACCGAATAAATTCCAAAATAACCGCGGATGATTCGCCCGAAAGAAATAGCCGGCATCCGAGACGTAACCTCGCTCCCACGGGAATCGCGACTCTGGAGAAATCCCTATTCGGTCCGCCCGGTCGTTCCTCGTGCCACTTGGAGAGCGCCCGCCCTGTCGTCGACCGTAACCACTTCTCCAGCCAATCGCTCTCGGATTTCAACCACCTCGACCTGAAATCCCTCTCGAATTTCTACCACCTCGACCTGACTGCGAAATAACTTTAACAATGTCTACCTCTACATGGCGAATCGTACAAAACTTGAGGAAAACTTGAAAATCGATGCCGCAATTTGGCGGAAAGGGAGGAACACTATTTTGACTACTTTGGCGGATCAGAAAATTCTTGCTCTACTTGCGAACAGCCGAACTTCGCGGTGGCTGTTTCTACTTCTACTATGAGTTGTTCGTGAATTTTTGGAATTTCACAATGCGCTCGATTTTTTTTTTTTTTTACTAGTCCAGACCTAACCCGGGATAGCGAATTAGCGCTCGACTATGAAGCAATGTCTTAGAGCGAGTCGCTAAAGATTCGGTCGTTGCTCTTGAATTTTATACCCGACGAAATCTCCAGCACGTGCCAAAAATCTTTGGAATTTAATGACTCCTCTCCGGATTTAACTACTCTTACCGTTCCTGCCATTTCCTCGACTATTATTACCGAGATCGCCACTATTGCGAGCTAAAAAGAAACGTCCAGCTCATTCAAGAAAGCCTGTACTCCGCGACCGAAATACCCATTCTTAAGTTTGCGACCCCCGATGGTCCACTCAAGAAAAGAATCCCACGTCGAAAAAAAAAGAATTCATTGAACCAAAGAAATATTTCGTCGACTCGAAGAACAATTATTTCACTCGAATAACCTCAAACAAATCGTCGTAATTCCAAAGAAACGTTGCATTTAATTTATTAGAGTCAAATAATTATTCCTTGAATTAACAAATTTTTTCTCTTGCCCAGTGACATTTTTTTTCTCGGTGCGAGAACGGAGTCGAGCGATCACTCATCGATTCACGCTATTGGCAGGACGTCGATAATTCCAGGATATCGATCGCGAAGGGGAAACTCGAAAATCTACTCACCATGACTTGGGACTCCAGGTCGGACTTCTGAGCAGCCAGTTTGGAGGCCTTCTCCTGGAACTCGGAGAGAGAGCCCTTCTCGCCATCGAGCTGCTTGAGGAGGTCGGTCTTCTCGGCGAGGAGCTTGGTGTTGAGGGCCTCGAGTTCTTTGCGGGCCTTTTCCTCCCTCTCGAAGGCTTCCTGGGCGACGCGGGCCTTTTCCTCCCATTTCTGCAAAGAGGCATCGTCGGTACCGTTGGTCAGTCGTTCGGCCGAGTTTTCCGTGGGGACCGGATCGTCCATTTTGCCGACTGGCTCGGCGGTCTCGGGTTTCTCCTCGACCGATTCCACGGTGGCGGTTGACCGGTCCTCCGGAGGTGAAATCCGGGGGTCCCGACGCGGAAAACTGCTCGTCGAGGTCGATTCGACCTGCCCGAATTTCTGTTGCGGTCAAGCAAGGGGGAGGACCCCCTTGGGGCAAGGGATGGGATCGCGAGTCGTCTCTTCGGTAGCGATCGATTTCGCAGGGGGGTTTTATTTATTTTTTTTTTCTTCGAGGCGTCTCGAGATTCGCAGCGATTCGTGTTGCTTCCCCGATAGTCGATGTCGGAGGTGATGTCGGAGGTGACGGAGGAGGTGGTGTCGGAGGTGCGCGTTCGGTCGGCGGACTGGCCTATGCTTTCCACTCAACTCAACTTTTCTACCCAAAACCGAGCGGCGAGGCGCGTGGGTCGTGAACCAACCCCGACTGCACATCCCCACCCGGGGTGGGGCAGAAGCCTCCAAGCCGCCTTCGTAAAAATATTTATAACCGGTGTCGCTCTAGAGGTGGCGGCTCGCGGTTCGCGGCCCGCGACTCTTCCCTCCTCCGCTTTGGCGAAGGAGCCGGGCTAAAAATACGATTGCTCCTTCCAGAACGAAGGAGCTCGCTAAGAAAGGCATCGGCGCCTCGGCTTGGGTTCCAGGCCATCTTCCGCCTCCGATCTAGACCGGGACGCCCCGGTCCCGATTCCGTCCAGGTCTCCGACACCGCAATTGCCGCTTTATCTGATTACGGGGCCGCGTTTTAGGAGACAAGGAACCCGGTGTTCGCTCCTCGGGTCCGCCACGATGGCCGATGCGCGGCCACCGTCGCGCTCGCGATCCACGCGACGTCCCCGATATAAATCCGATTTCCCGGCTCGGAATCGCGAAATATCGAAAAGTGCCCCCTACGAAATTTGCGGAGGACGAGAAGAGGAGTGGAAAGTAATTCGACGAGATTTCGATATTCCGCCCCGATGAGGGGGGAAATCCGGGTGGAAGCGCGGGGGCCGCGGCGATCCCTTTGAAGTAACGAAAGAGGGGCCAGCCTCGATGGCCGCGGAAGATCGGCGGGTTAATATCGATAAGTCTTGCCGAGGCTTTAACAGGATCCGCCGGGGCTATTTGCGGTGGATATACGTCTTGCTCGAGATATTAGCAAGACCTGCAGCTGCTCGCGGCAGCCACGCGTCTTGGATGAAATAACACCCCTTCCACGCCTAGCGAAAGTAACCGAGTTTTCCGTTAATAATTTAACGAGGCTTCCCGCTAGAGGCGGCTTACTTTCGGAAGTCGCGGATAAACCGTCGAAGAAGCGACCCGTTTGCGTAACGCGGATCCGCAGACCGAAGCCTATACGTCTTACTCGAGATATCGTGCGGACCTGCCGGAGATATTAGTAAAATCTGCTACAGCTGTCCGAGTTCGGATGGCTTTTGGCAAGGCGAGGATTTCTGCGGAACGCGAGATTTGGACCGCCCTCCCGCGGAAGAAAAATCCCCTCGCCTTTACGTAACTTCCCGACGTCGGTTCCGTGGCGTTCCTCGAGCCGAATCCGAATTCCGATTTCGTTTATTTATCCGGCTCCGACTTTCGGCATCTGGCCCGAAGTACTTTGATTTTATTCCGGCCTTGTCGAGCTTGAAAGTGAATTTTAGGCGCCTCCGGTGACGCGTCGAGGCCTTCCGATCGGTCGACGCCGGAGTTCCTCGCTTTGCCAGAAATCCGGGCAAAAGTCTCGGCCCTTTTTCGGCCATACTTACGGCGAGCTCGTCTTCGATGCGAGTGACGTTGAGCAGAGGCTTGACCTTCTGCCAGAGCTTCCACCAGGGCCAAGTGCGGAGTTGGAGGTACTTGCGGAGGTTCCGCTGTACCACCTGGAGGGCAAGGCGCTGTTCCTGGAGCTTCTTGTACTCCTTGCGGGACAGGTAACCCCTGACGAAGGCTTGCATCCAGGAGACGATCTTGCTGAGTCGCTCGTCTCGCAACTCCTCCATCTGACCCAGGACTCCGGCACGGAAGAACACCTAGAGGAGTCGCGCGAAAGAGGGAAACGGTCGTTAGAGTCCTGGACGAGTCCATCCCGGGGTCCTTCGGTACCAAAATGGCACCCCATAGCGCGGGCCAACCCCCCTAGCCTCATGCAAAGGCGTTGCCCGGCAAAGCCTCCGACGAGTGCTCTTTGGCCAGCTTCTGGTAGGCTTATTAAAAGGTGTCGCGTTACCAACAGCTTTTGACGCTGTACGGAGACTCGACACACTTCGGACGGCATACCGAAGCCTCGCCAAAAAATTCCTGCGGCGCAACGACGACCGTCGACGGAGCTCTCGATGTCGGTCAAGACCGGTCTGTTGACCGCTCTTTTTGCGGGTCACTCGGTGACAATAGTCTCGAATGACGAGCCGTCGTCTATATCGAACGGCTCGCAATCGATCACGCGTAAACCCTTTAGTCAAGGCTTAATTTTAGTGGGTCATTTTTAATACGAGTGACTCGGCGAGGCGTCATCCCTTTAATTGGACCGAAGACCTCTTAAAAATAAGAATCGATCGATTTCGATCGTCCCGACTAGCCGATCGAGCCCTCCGTCGACGAGACCGTCTTTGAAGCCGATAAACAAGAATTGAAAATCCAAAGTTTCGAATAATTCGTCGATTCGCTCGGATTTTCTCGGAATTATTAATCGCTGTTAATCTCGGGTTAAGACGGTAACAGGCGTTAATGGCTGCTGTGAGAGGCCCGATTCGATTCGCGATCGTCGGTGGTCTTTTCTCGCCCTGGTCGATTGGGCCGGATCGAATCGAGGCCTCTGGTTAGGACATTAGATCGTTACTGTACATGTTAGGTGAACCAAAGGTACTGGATACCTTGGTGCGACCCAAACGGTATTGGTCGGGTTCCAAGTTGATGGCTTCGAGGACCTTCTCCGTTGCCTTTTGTGGATCGCACGGGTCTTTGATAAGATGTGCGCACAGAATTTTGTATCTGCGTTCGTTCGACAAAACAAAATAAAGCACAGGCCGTTACGAGGGCTGGGTGACAAAAACGGGGTGGCGGGTCTGTCGGAGAGTCGTTAACACGTTGGGGGAATTTCCTTAAACGATAAAACCGCGCCGACGTCCACGATCGTCCGGACGCGATCTATTCTTAAAAATCGTCCCGAAATTGTATCATTCGCAGCTTTCGGGGGCTGCTCGAAACCCGACTCAGGGAAAAAAATGTCACTTTAGATCCTTTCGACGTGGACGTCGTTCGACGGGCTGCCTCGGTTCTCTAGAGTCCGAGGTGAGGACTTCCAAGCACATGTACTCGATCCGGCGCCATGGCCGCTCCGGATATTCGGTTTCATTCTAAGGGCTGGTTAAGTTACGACACATGGGCAAACTGATCCAGACGATAAATCGCCTGGCGCGATCGGCGCATCCTCTCGATCGGCATAAAAAGACGTGCCTTGGTGTGTCCTAGACGGTACTGATCCGGCTCTAGCCCTCCGGCAACCAGAACGGCTTCGGCAGCTTTCTTCGGGTCGCTCGCTAATTTGTCGACCGCTTGAGGCGCCAGGATCTTGTATCTAAATGTCGGGTTCACGCGCAAAAAGGTAGTACGTGCATTAGTCGGGCAAACTATCCGCTAATCGGGGTGCTCATGAGTAGGCTACTACACGGGCGGACGACTCTACGTGGTCGGCGTCGAAGGTCCAAAACCGCTGCTGACGCTGCTTCCGATCGTTTGACCTGGCCGATACTTCCGGGGGCTCTGTACTTCCAATAATTACGGGGCGACATGTCCGGGTCAAGGAGTCACAGCAAAGAGGTAAACGAATCTACGGGGGCTACTTGGGGCTACTCTCGATTACCGGCCACTTAAAAATCAGGGTTCAAATGACTACTTTGGGCTCCTTGCATCGTGTGTGAGGGCGAAATTTGACGGCAATGACGTACAAACCCCAGTCTTATCCTGAATAATTAGAGAATGAACTAGGAAAAATTCCTCGTAATTTTTGGAGGGTTCTTTTCTCTCTGTAAGGGTTACACCGGGGAAGCGTACGCTCGGTCCGTCAAATTTCTAGTGTGGGGCAACGTTAAGGGGTCGTTTCATTCAGGTTCCAAATTGGGGGGCTCCAAATCAACGGGGGGTTCGAGACACTGGGGCACGGGGGCTAACATCTATGTACTTCAAGACTCCAGTAAAACCATTCCCCGAGGGCAGTATCTCATTGAAAGGTTCAACTAGCCTTCGTGTGACCGATCCTGTAGCTTTCCGGGTCGAGATTTACGGATTCGAGACATTTAGCCGCCGCTATCTTGGGTTCCTTTTCTGCCGTCATTATAGCCGGGGCTAAGATCATGTAACTGTTCGCCAAGAAATATCACCGTTAAAAGGATCGATAAAGTGCGCCTGCCTCTGTATATTGATTAGACGCGAAAAAGATACCGAAATCAGGCGAAATGATCATCTCCTGGGCAATGATCTTCGAACTTTCCAATTCCCTATAATATTCTAATTCAAAACGTGTTTCATACGACCCGATTGAGAATGGCGACTTCATACAAGTCGCCATTCTCCTCTTCGGGTCGCACTTCAGGGACTCTCTCGAAATCTGCATCGGTGGCAAGGTACTTGGTTACTTCCAAAATGAATGAACGATTTTTCTACAAGTTCTACTCCTTGATGTAAATTTCGAGAGTGGATTCGTGTCGCGTCTTCAGGGTCTGGGTAAAGTGTCCATGGTAAAAACGGGTCGATTCCTCACCGGAGCTTGAAGTCAGGGTAGACCATCCTGTTGGGGAACCCTTTACGGCAGATACGGATGCCTTCAAGTACACCGTTACAGGTGAGCTGGTGCATCACCAGGTGGGAATCGATCACGCCCGGTTGCTTCAACTCGTTGGGGATGATACAACGGACGAAGTGAGGCTGGGTCGCCCTCAGGGTGGTCATCAGGTTGTTCAGCTGTTCCTTGTAGGACGAGGACACCGTGGAGAAGCCACCTCCCTTCTTTCCACGACCTCCCTTTCCGCCGCCGCCACCGCCGGTGTCACCGGACTGTCCAGGATGATCAGCGAAGATCTCAACCAGCAACTTGTTGGTGGATTTCTTGAACTGGTCGACTACCGTGTCGTTCAACGGGTCCTTGTTCTTCTCCAGCCAGCCGGTGATGTTGTATGGTACCTGTAGTCAGCCAAGTAATTATTTTTCACCGTCCCTCGTCAAAGGACCTCAGGTCCCTCTTCAGGGTCTTCAAGGTTCATTTTTCAATTTCTCCAACTTACGTTGCCGGCATAATGGCCGATGGCGAAGTGAGCCGCCTGTTGACCGGGCTTCGGCGGTTTCGGCTTCAAGAAGTTAGGACTCTTGCCCAGATGGTTGTTGTTCAACTTCTCCTCGAAGGTCTTGTCGGTGGCTTTCGGGAACATAGACTCTTCTTCAAGGATCGACAGGATACCCATGGGCTAGTTCGAAGGAGAAAAAAAATCCCAGGATGAGTCTGGGTCCTGATATCACCAATTTGGACTTTGCAGCTCTGGAGCTAACGTCGGCGGCAATATTTTGCCTTCTTTTTTCTTTTTTATAAAGATCCAAAAAATTTAATTCTTCCAACATGACATCAAAATTGAATTTTTGCCCTCGTTTGCTCTCATCGCGGACGTAATCGCGACGAGCGGCAAAAGAGAAAAGATCCTAATACAAATCGTCCAGATTTTATCGTAATTTTGTTAATCGAGGAGTGAACAACTGGGAAATTGGACGGATTAAATTTTCCTTGAAGACCTTTGATTAATCGACAAGTCTAAAATTGGTCTCCTCCAAAATGGCAGTTGTCCACTCCCAAGTTAGTCGAGTAAACGTACCACGAAGCAAGCTTTCGACACAAACGACACAGACGAGCGTTTGCAAGCAAACGGAGAAGATTCGTGCTGATCGGCCACTAGCTGCAACGTGGAATTAGTCCTAGGCTTATTTTTAAACAAGCGTTTACCTTCTCGATGGGATCGACGTTCCGTCTCAATTCTACAAAATTCAAAGCGATACCCTCCCCATCGCGCTCCTCTGCTCTTTTTACGCTGCTGCATCTTCTCGTCCATAAAGTTGAGACAGGATCGCTCAAAATCGTTGAACCAAAGTTCGCCACAGTGATCGAGGAGAGAGATGCAACGCACACAAAAAGCCTCAAGGATGAGAAAGGAAGTTGACGAGCTCGTGTCTCGTAACGCGTTTTGCTGGATCAGGTGTAGGGCCGGAAGTCGGTTCCTCTCGACCGATGATGACCCGATGATCTTCCACGTCTCTCAAGTTGTCCGTCTGCCGTGTTTTCAGAGTCCTGGTCCAGTCCACCCCTGAGAACCTTCCTCGACCCTCGCCAGAATTTTTTCCAATATTTTTTCTTAAGGAAGAAAATTCTAAAATATGAATAAAAATTCGAAATGGGTTAGGATTCTAAGTCGAGAGTCGGAGGAAGGTTTCAGAATCTGGATATTCCAGGAATCATCACACGAGGAGGGATGACCAAGGTTCCCTCCAGGGAGGGGACGAAAGCGTTAGGTTTGACGATGTCCGGAGCAATCCTCGAGACTCCGGGCACCAAAGACGTTACCTGGGGTTAGTCGTGCACTGTAATGTCATAACAATCGCATGTTCAGTTACGATGAAAAAAAAAAAAAAGAGTCATGCTCGAGCAGGATGCGGTACGCGGAGCGACCGGGCCGCTGTAAATGGTCTTTTCCGGCGGTCGGCTCCCTTCGGAGTACCTTCTCGATAAGGTCAATGGTTTGTTGGAGGTCCATGCCGAAGTCAATGAAGGTCCACTCAATGCCCTCGCGCTTGTACTCTTCTTGCTCGAGGATGAACATGTGATGGTTGAAGAACTGCTGCAACTTCTCGTTGGTGAAGTTGATGCAGAGCTGCTCAAAGCTGTTGAACTGTTCGTGCGGGACAGAGAAATGGGCAAGACAGTGGTCAAAAAACTGCTTGTGCCGTTTCCTGGAGGGGTGAGTCGGCTCTGGAGCCGATTGGGGGTCCGAGGGCCGAGGAACTTCCTCGGCCTCCACCCTGTGCGTTTTGGGGCACTTTGGGTCGTCCTCGGTGCGAGGTCAGGGTTGGCGGGGAGGCGTCAGGGTGCTCGATCTCGAGGTCGGCTCGATTCGACGGTCACGACAGGTGCCGTTTTGCTGGTCAGGGGACTGGCGGGACTGACAAGACGAAGCCAAAAACCAGGGCGGGGGTCCTCTCCGAGGGGGGTCCTGTCCAGGGATCGGGGACGACGAGACAACAGGGGGCACGAGAGAAGATCTTGCGACGAGGCGGGTGGTCCACGATCAGGGATTTGCGCAACAAACAACCAGGGTACTCGTATCTGTACCTTTGACCCCACCTAGGGCAACAAACCGCACATTCCCTCCACTTTTGCAACAACTCTCCACCCTCTAACGTTCTTCGGTAGATCCTTGACCGAGGGCTTTCGCGTTCGGCTCTCTCCGCTGATCTTATATACCTTTTCGATAAGTTCGATACAAGCGGCCAAGTCCATGCCGAAGTCAATGAACTCCCAATCAATGCCCTCCTTTTTGTACTCCTCTTGTTCGAGTACGAACATGTGGTGATTGAAGAACTGCTGCAACTTCTCGTTGGTGAAGTTGATGCAGAGCTGCTCAAAGCCGTTGTACTGTTCGAGCAAAGGCAAACCGGGTTTTAGGGACTCGGGGAATTCGCATGCCAGCAGCGAGGCTATGTGCTAGGGTTGTTCACGAAAGACGAATCGGAGGTGTGTTGAATGTTCCGGGGTGAAGAGGAGATTGAAAAAAATTCGTCGCGAGCGTGAACGAGGTGTCGCGGGTTTCGAGGTGGAAGAGACGTGTGGGATGAATGTTCATTTTGTGTCGAGATATCGATGAACCTAGGGAGGAACTGAAATCGGGGGAAGTAGAGAAAAATGCGGAATTACGTAACGATGCGTGCGCAAGGAATACCAGTGGCTCGGCTGCTTCGGAGAGCGCAAGAAGTCAGGACAAAGACGTTACAGAGAACGTAGAAAAACAGTGGACGATCACTATATAGAGTGCGATAGATAGGGTTTAGAAGCGTTATCAGTGGCTTATCGAGAGGCTCCCGATGGGCGCTTCCGGTCTCTCGGGAGACCAGAAGTAGGCCTGCTGTACCTTCTCGATGAGTTCGATACATGCTAGCAGGTCCATGCCAAAGTCTATGAACGCCCATTCAATGCCCTCTTTCGTGTACTCTTCCTGTTCGAGGACGAACATGTGGTGGTTGAAGAACTGTTGAAGCTTCTCATTGGTGAAGTTGATGCAGAGCTGCTCGAAGCTGTTGAACTGTCCGAGCAAAGGCAAGACAGCGGTCAAAATGACTGTTTCGTCGCCGCTCAAGGTTCATCCTTAATCTCCTTAACGTCTCCTTTCTTTCGTTCTGTCTCGCGGAAACGTTTACGGGGATGCTCCTCGACGTGCCAACGTCCCATACAATATTTCCTTTTCCATTCTCCTCTATTTCTTTGGGGGGGCGGGAAATTTGAACCGCACAGAAACGAGGAACAAATATGATGACCTCGTCAATTTCTGCTTTGATTTTTGCTTTTAACCCGGCAACAAATTTTTTTTTTTTTTATCAATTGGGATTTCGATCGAACTGGAAATTCATTCCGTTTTGTTGGCACTCGAGGACGCATATTTAGAAAACTGATCCATGCACGTGTCGGGACGTGGCTGTTCATGGAGGTTTCTTTCCGTTTCGTCGACACACCATTTTAGAAGGTGTTCGATTGCTGGTACCACCCATATCAGCTGGTATCACTGACATAAATGACAATCTCCCTCGGGGTCATGAACTTTTTGGTAACCCTTGACCGTATTTGGTGGAGAGGCAACAAACGTGAACATTCCAAGAGGGTTCAAAACGGGGGACATGACCCACACAGCGTTTAACGATCCAAACTCTGGATGGAATTGCTGATAATTTATCTTTAACGTTATATTATTTAATTATAAAAACACTTCGTATCATCCGTGACTACAAAGCAAAGGTGAAAAATAGCTTTAAACGTTTCTTGCTGTGTGGGTCTGCGCTGGTCAGCAGCCTCGCATGTTCAAAAAGAATTGGCAGAATTTCGTCCAGGGTGGAAGAAACGCGTTCTCTTGGATCGAGCGATCACTCCTTTGGGTTTCTCCTATGAACTGGACGAAATGTGAAAAGCGGATTTCATGCCAATCCTGGGTTGGGAGACACAAAGTTCTACTCTAACGATAATACCATTCATCACTTTTGGGGACAATACGCCGAAATCGAGCCAATCAGAAGCCGATTTGTGGGGAGTAACTATGATTTCATATACGGCGATGAGTCCACTGTTTTACCATTTTCCGACATTTTTTTTTGGTTGGGCAGAAGAGGTGAAAAAAAAATGCCAACTCTGACATTCGATGGGCGTTGCTGGAAATAACTCGACAAGGGGTATGACACTCCTACTCGGAGTACGAAAATCGCCGATAATTGGGAAATTCTCACTGGGGAAAATTCTTCGGAGACATCGTCATCCGTAATTAAAATTCGCTGTAAAAAAATTGGTCTGGGCAGAGGGTACAACAGCGAGGGGGTAATGCGCCGAAAAACTCACCGAGTGGTTCTTGGACCCTGTTGCTACCTTAGCGAGTTCCGAGACTTGTCTTGAATGAAATTATGAAATAAACCGAAACGTTGGAAAACTCATTAACGAGGGAATTACACCTAAAATTAGGTAAGTACAGCTAGTGGGGGAAAGTCGTACGGGGGCCAACCCAATCCGTGCGGAATTACTTTAGGGAATGTACGGGTAAAACCAGAATTCCAACTCCAATTTGTTTTTTTTTTTTTCTACGGGGGAAATTCAATAATCTCAAAGAAAACGAAACGGGGAAACGAGGGGAAAAAACGAACAACTCTTTAGAAGTCACCCTAAGACCTTGCAAATTGCTGGAATACCTTTATGAAAGCGCATTCATGTATGTTGCATTCATAAAGGTATTTCGTCGGGTCATCGTTGCAAAAATATTGCGGCAATATTTTTTTAGACGATGCAATATACCGCCAGAATATTTCTGCAACATTTCCGTACATGGCCAGGTGACATTCGAAGCTTTGAGTTTTCCTGAGTGCAGGGGTAGAAATTTTCATTCCTTGGGGGAGATGCAGGGGGCATCGTTAATCCATTATCCGGGAAGGGTCAGATGTGAATGTAGAACCAAGGGGTCGTGCAACTAGAAGGGGGTGCTATCTTCGGAGCGATAAAACGTTGTCAATTGACAAATGTTGCACAGTTCCTTGGAGGAATCCTGGATGCCGAGCTTGCGCTACCTTTTCGATAAGCTCGATACAAGCTAACAAGTCCATCCCGAAATCAATGAACTGCCAAACGATGCCCTCTTTCTTGTACTCCTCTTGCTCGAGGACAAACATGTGATGGTTGAAGAATTGTTGGAGTTTCTCATTGGTGAAGTTGATACAGAGTTGCTCGAACCCGTTATACTGTCAGGCAATGGAACATTGTGTCAACCGTTAAAGGGTAATGAGAGATTCTGTGTCAATATTCGATGTCTCGGTGACTCCTTGCCGCTGCGAGTTTTCTATCCTTCCGGGTGTCTGCTTCCTGTGTTTTGTGCTGTCAAGTGGTTGCAAACCGACAGATAAACCGAGACTCGTCTACGTGTCGTCCCAGAGGGTGCCGCATTTTTTTTTTTTAAATTTCCTGCAGTACTCATTTTTCAAAATCTAGCTCGACGACTCTCGGTTTATCTTCCGGTGCATTTCCAATGTTAACTTTGATGTCCTCGAAGTTGAAAATTCCCGAAGCACCGTTACTATTTTTTTACACGTAATCTCGTAAGGACCATCCTTTGACAGGCATCGATCGGTGATTTCAGCCTTCGAGAACACATAGTCCGTGTGAAACGAAAAGAACTGTCGGCATGCTTACGTCGAAGATTTCGAAACCAGCGATATCCAGGACACCGATGAAATGTTGGCGCTTCTGTTTGGTGTCTAGGGTCTCGTTACACTTCTTCACCAGCCACTTGAAGACCCTGTCGAACATGGCCTTCGACATGGCACCGACGGAGTAGGCGACCTGGTCCTTGTTACGACCCTGGGTGACGAACTCGTTACCGACTTTGATCCTGGGCTTCAACAAGTTCTTGTACAAGTCCTGGCAGTCGCAGCCCAATAGCTTGGCGACGCGTTCACCTTCCTACGAGGTAAAATCGAGATGGATTAAAAAAGAGAAATATCAAGAAAAAAAAAATCTCGAAAGAAAAAACAGGAAACGTACCTCGGTACCGTCGGCTTCGGCTTGTTCTTCGCGACCTCTCTGCTTGAACTTCATGCCACCCATGTGCATGACGGCAGCGGTGATCTTGTAAATGTTGTCCTTCTCCTCTTGAGTGAAACCAAGTACGTCGAAGGCTTGCTGTAGGGCAGTAATCGAATTCGATTAGCGAGGAATTTCTGATTCTCGAGTCCGTGGGTTTCGATTCCGTCGCTTCGACGGAGCGAAACCGTCGGAGGTCGACGGGCACTCGGGCTTGCAGCTGGATGTTACGTTAGTCCAGTCGTGAATAATAGATGATCGGGTTAGTGAAGCACACTTAGGTCACAGTTGACACAGAGAGACGTTAACGAGAGCGTGAGTACAGGCAGAGAGAGCTGCGGCTAAAGCAGACTTTGCGTAGAGTTGGAGTCCCTCGATTTTCCGGGACTTCCATAAAATGAGCCGATTGAGAAATGTTAAAAAAGAAAAAAAAAAGAAAAAAAAGAGACTCAGAGCGAAGCGAAGCGCAGCTTAGCGTAAGTAAGTAGCCGCTTCGTTTCTTAGCTTCTCGCGGACTCCGTCCTTGTAAATTGACGCTTCACTCGAGGATCTCATCCGATAAGGACACTCTCTCTGATCAGCGATCGGCGCTCAAGGGGCAATTCCGGTCGTGGACGATCGACGATCGATAGTCGGGGCTAATCGAACGCAATGCGGCGGTCGATCGACGATCGAACGGTGCAAGGGTCAAACAGTGATCGGGGGGGGGGGACAAAGATCGATCGATGCGTCTATCCGCGATCTCGTGCCCTCCCTCTCGATCCCTCGAAAACCCGGGCAAACCAATTTTCGGGAGATCGAGAGCGATCGAGGCGATCGGAAGGCATCGACGATCGACCGGGAGAAATCGACTCCAGGCTAGCGGTCGATCGACGATTGGACGATTCACAGGTCAAACGTGTCGGGGTCAGGGTTCGGCGATCCATGATCGATCTCCTTCGATCAACGGTCCGGGGGGCATTGCTGTATCGTGCAAGGGTTGACATCTCTCATTTAACCCTGTAAAATCGGGCATACGTTTTCTCAGGGGGGTCAAAGGGTAACAGGGCAATCCCGACATCCGGGGTCTAGGGACTTACGTCCGTGAGTAGACACTCCTCGCCATCGTCCACGTTGGGGATAGTGATTTTCCCCTGGGACACGTTGTAATAGTCGTATATGTTGTTCGACAAGAAACACAAGTCTGCGAATCATTGGTATTATCAGTTGGGGCATTCCGTCGTGCACATCCGATAAAAGGGGATCGTCAATTCGAAACGCGGTTCGCTCGTCAAATGTCAAATCTCTATACGATCACCGCTCGAATAAAATAAAGAGTCTCGTTTCGTGACGTCTCGCGCAAGTCGAAATTATACGTATCGGGATCCGAGCTCGGTCTAAAGGGTTTCAACCGAACCGCTGAGCGCTCGTCGGACAGCGAAGGGACGAACGGAGGGAAATCGTCGACACGGACACGTGCTCGGGGAGCGGGCTAAAATTGGGGGGACGCCTTGGATTTTCGTGAAAATTCCCCTTTTTGCCCCCAACTAGCCCAGCCCCCCGACAATGGCGGCCGGAAGCTGCGCAGCGCTGGGGGGCAGGGTCTGCTACGCAAGTCGGACTTTCCTCGCCGATTTCCGTCGATTTCTTCCCCGGTTCTTCTTTTTTTTTTCCGGCCATTTCGCCGACCGTCCGAGCTCTCCCCCGGGGAGGAAATCCCCGGAAAACTCGCGGCGAGAAGTCCTTCGGCGTTAGTTGGGGACTTACGTCCGTCTCTTCCATGCTGGCGGTGTCGTTGACTCCCGGAATTCTGGTCTTACCCTGACTAATGTACCAGTAGTCGCCGATCCTGTTGCTCAGCAGGCAGATCTCTGCTTTGGCATAGCACTCAATCGGATATGCGAAAGGGGACCGAGGCCCGAAAAAAGAATAGAAAAAAATCCTTCCCCTCGATCCGTTCCCGGAGAACATCTTCGATCCCGGTTTCACGAGGGTCGCAAAGTGCACTTTTGTCAACATCGATATGCACACCTCGGTGCATCCTGCAAACCTCGAGGAACGTGGGCTCTATTTCTGGAGTCGCAACGGAGAGAATATTTATTCGGATAAAAATATCCGGACAAGATATTCCCTCCTTGGTTTAAATAGAGGAAATTCCCCTTCGACCTAACGAGAGTCTCTTAAGAATAGAGCTGAAAATTGCGAGAGCCGGAGCGGCTACCGGCGCGATTATTAAAAGCTATGCTAATACGAGATGAATGATCCAAACGAATTATTCACAATCGAAGGGGCGTCAACCATTAGAACTACGTGTTGCTAGACTTGCAGAGAGAAATTACAGAGAAAGAGAAGAAGAATAAGAAGAGTAAGAAGAAGTGGAAGAGTAAGAATGTGAAGAGACAGAAGTGAGAAAAAAAAAAAGTAGAGAGTAGAAGAGATAGACGGAACATTCCTATTAAGAGTATCAGAAAAAGAGAGACGGAAAGAGACGCAGAGGCAAGAAAGATCCAACTCTACGAGAGAACTACAAGAATGAAAAACGAGATGTACGAGCGCGGTTAGAAGATGATGTCAAAAGAGAGCTGCTCTAGGCCGAGGTCCACACGGTCGCGCAAAGCTGTAGTTTAGACTCATACTTTGCGAATGCTGCGATTGTTGAGACAGGACGAAAACACAGCGAAACAAAGGAAAGAACGAAGGGCTTCAACAAAACGTCACGACAGCGACCTTAGCGAGATCGTTGGAGGTAGAAATTGGTACGGTCACCTCGCGGTAATGCTCGAATATCCAGAACCGGCGAAATAAAATGGCAATTGCGCTCCGATGAATAATTCTCACGTTAAATAATAAGGATAAAAAGAAATTCGTCAGAGACCAGATTTGGATGTTCGAGTACCGGACATAGGATGATCTCACAGGAGATACAGTCTCGTTCTCCAAGGCATGCACTTACGTCTGTAACAAGCAGTTCCTCGCCGTCATCGAGGCCTGGGATTGTGGTCTTGCCTTGCGACACAAAGTAGTAGTCGTTGATGTTGTTGGACAGCAGCAACATGTCTGCAGGGGACACCAAACATGCGGGATGAACCAGGAACGAAAGCTCACCATATTTCCTCATGGTTTTCGGCGGGGTTCAAGGGGGGGTTCGGCTCTAGAGATGTCTAGAGTGGGCGTGGGACGCTGGTCGAGATAGAGACAAATTGCGACAGGCACAGGGTGAGGGTCTACTTCACAAAAACGTCGAAAAGGGGTAAAACCGGAGAACCAGCACCAGGAGGTCCGGAAGCGTCAGACGTATCTCGTCTGACCGGTGCTGCTCCAGAAAGGTGGATCGATGGATCCGTTCTCAGGATCGTTCGTTCCAAAGCGATGTCTCTTCTCTCCTTCGATAGACTCGACCAAAGCTACCGGAAGGTGAAGCGAGAGGTGGCGGTCGATGCCGAAGAAACGAATTTAAATCCCGAATTTAAAATCAACGTAATTCGAAGTTGAGAACAATCCCATAATTTTGAGGGGTTTAAACGGCATCGGCACCCCTCTCTCCACCGTATCCGCTGGCACCGTGTCCGGTCCCGAGGGTCCGTCCAGTCCTCGGGGACCCGGCGAACCGAAAAAGTGACCAGAAGACGAGTTTCACACTGGGGGTCACACGAGGGCATCACACGTACACGTGCACCTGGCCTACGAGCCCAGGAAACCCGTCCGTCACGACGGAGGTCCCAGGGTACGGGTTTCCCTTGAGTCCTCTCATACTTCTAGGCGGCGACGTCGCTCCCGAACCGGTCAAAGAGGTGGAGGGGACGTATCGACGGATGCGCGTTTCAAGATACGCTAATTGGAAATAGCTGGCGAGACAACCGAGTACGCGTTGTAATCCTTACGTCGGTCAAAGTGCATTCCTCGCCGTCATCGACGTTGGGAATCGTCGTCTTTCCCTGAGAGACGAAGTAGTAGTCGGTGATGTTGTCCGAGAGACAGCACATCTCTACGGGAGGAGGACGTCAAGAGTAAAGTGAGGAGTCTTTCCCAAGACCTAGACATTTTGAGGGGTCCTGCCCCGTAACGTGCACCTGCTGCCTACTTAATGCCTATTGCCTGCTCTGTACCTGTCCTCTATCTACCCTACACCTTGTACCCGGGAGACATCGCCAGACCCCTGGCACGATCGAGGTCCCACCGTGTTCGACGTTCCCCCTCCTGATCTCACAGTTGGGGAGAACGGGCCGACCACCTGGATTCGGGCTAATTCGGGCAGTTTCGGGCTACTTTGGACTATCTCGAGGGGAGTTCCGATAAATGGGGAAGACGCGACGCGATTCCAGACCCGTGGGGTCCGAATCGCGGGATCTGTACTTGGACACGGCAAGACCTTACCCTTCAAACCCTTAACGGAACCCGACATCATCTGGTAGAAAATATGGTACGACCGCTCCAGAGATTGTTGGGAGATGACACGAGCTTTCTCCAACAGGTCTGCAAACGAAGAAGAGTTCTCGGGTTAATGGACGTTTCCGGTGTAAGTGGAAACCTGACGAAGATAGGTAGCGGTGAGATATAATTATAGGAAGAGTAGTACTTACAGGTCTCGATGTCAGCACCGGCCAGTTTTCCGGAAGGACCGAAGTGAATACGGATGAATTTACCCTGGGGGGGACAAACGATGAGATCGGTATTATCGATAGGAGAATAACCACCTTTTTTTTCGAGTACAGGACCAAGTGAGGACACTTACGAAACGAGAAGAGTTGTCGTTACGGACGGTCTTGGCATTACCGAACGCCTCAAGTACGGGATTAGTTTGGACGACCTGGTCTTCTAGGGAGCCCTTCTTGGTGTCGCTGGCCTCCTCCGACTTCTTGGTGGAGGCACCAACGGTGGCGAAGTACGCGATTACCTTCTTCGTGTTCTCAGTCTTACCGGCACCAGACTCACCGGTGATCAACATACTCTGGTTTTCGCTGTCTGGAAGGCAAAAAGAGATCAACGTCGACGCGAGTCCCATGAATTCCATCACCACGAGGAAATTGTCCCCAGTAATAATTTCCACATTACGGGGAGATACTCACTGGTCAGCATGTTGACGTAAGCTCCGTCGGAGATGGCGAAGATATGAGGTGGGACTTCGCTACGTCTCTTACCACGGTACAGCTTGGCGCACCTCGAGGTGTACACGGGGTACCTCTTGTAAGGGTTGATGGCCACGCAGAAAAGGCCAGAGTAGGTCTGGAAAATGGTAAGCCGTGATAAAAGCGGGAAAGAGACTCAGGTCGGGCACATCTACGAGAAAACATGGTGAAGGCGAGTAAAACAAGATAAAACGTAACAAAGAGGCGGGTGGGACAGCTTTCTCGTCTCGTAGATCAGCTGTAAAAAAAAGGATCGACCAGTATTGGGAAGATCGCGACGGAACGACCTCCCAGATTCGACCTGGCGGTAATCGCTTTTCGGAGTCGAGCCTCGAAGAGTCGTCCGCCGCGTGCGCAAACGGAACACGTAAAACCCGGCAAAAAAATCATACAACCGATGAGACCAAAATTGTAGGAGAAGAAAAAATTAAACAATCGGGACAAATGGAAAACGCTCGGTACGGGCACCCGTGCTCTTTGGTGCTTTCGACCTCATGCTGACGTTTCTCCCAAAGTGGTCTTCCGAATACCATAATTAAAAAGGGGCTCATGCTGGATTCGACGCGGTGGAACCCTCCAGTCCTGCTCGGAGGTTTCGTCGCTCATGATGATTTTTTTTTCCCCTTCTCCAAAAACATGGCTAAAGACACGATATAAAAAAGCACGGCCATGGTCAGTCTGTCCACCATCGGCCAGCTCTTCCAGGTCGTGGAAAGGCAGCGGGGTGGTCGTCCTGTGCACTTTTCTGCCGTCTCCAGGTAGCCGGGCAAAGTTTCCAAGGTGTAGACCCAAAGTGCCCACCAAGATGTATCGATTTAGGATCGAATTCGAGCCAACTCTCTTTGCCTTCCACTTTGCCCGACCTGGTGGAGATTCCACGACCCTCTGCGACACTCGACATCGGGGATGCAGCGGACATGAATGTGTACAGTGGATATTTCTTTTTTATGCGCATAGTTGGAGGTGAACACGAACAACACTCCTCGATAGCAGCCTCTGTTGTCTTCTCGTCTATCTTACATAAATCAGCTTGTGGTAGTAACGCTGCTTCAAGTTGTGAAGAACGGAAGCGTCGTTCAGGTAGGTCAAGTTGGACATGTCCTCGCATTTCTCGTACTTGGGCGGGTTCACCTGCTGCAGCTGGTCCTTCTTGAAGTCTTTGGTCTAGGTGAAGAAACGGCAAGGTTAGTGGAATCTCGGAAGTGACACTTACGTAGATAAGCTTCGAGTAGTAACGCTGCTTCAGGTTGTGCAAAACGGAGGCTTCGTTGAGGAACGTCAAGTCGGCCATGTTCTCGGTCTTCTCGAATTTCGGCGGATTCACTTGGGACAGCTGGTCCTTGCGGAACTGTTTAGTCTGCGTATTTTGCAACAGGACAATTTTACATCTCGTCTAAACTCGGCATCGAGACTTTACCTCTCCTCGAGAAATTCCGTAACGACCGATTATCCACGAGGAGCGATTCCCCGTTCCAAACTCAACTCGAATTTAATTCGTAACTAAACGTAAACATCGTAACGAATTAATTGGCTTTAGAACCCGCTCGAAAATCAAAAGTAGCGATGCCATTTTCCGAAAAGGACCTTACAAATTTCGGAAAGGAAAAAAAAAATAATCCGAAGACGATTTCTCACGATAGCCATTTTCGCGGATCCGTCGATAATTCCATGAACGTCAACCGGCTTGCGAGGAAGGTGGTAATTAAGACATAAACTGAAAGTCAACCTTCGGGCATCCATTCCGGATGTCAACGTACGTTTTATCACGATGGGCACGGGCGTTTTGCTTCCCACGATTCAAGAGATCCGACCCGGTGCACATTTCCGGACGTACGCGAGAGCAAGCCGTTGCCCAAGGCTCGTGTCCACGTAAATCACGTCTGGCTTGGCATAAATCACCGGATGAACAAGACGGATGTTCAACGTGTTCATTCGCATTAACGAAAGACAAGCCGCGAGAGGAACTCGGATGCAAAATGAAGTGGAAGAAGACTAAGAAAGTCCATTGCGTAACGACGCGTCTTGCCGTATTCTTGGCAGAGCCTTCATCCGGTTCCCGAAACCAAAGGGACGAAAATATAATAAATATAAAAAAAAGGTACAATAAAAACATTAAATACTATAATCACCGAGATGCATGAGCCTTGCAAAAGTTCAGAATTAAAAGTTCCGGAATTTCAATCACCCCCCTTAAATTTAAATCCCCCTCGAAAAGAGCGAAAACCGAGACGACGCCTCGTCATGGCCGAGGAGCAGAAAAGAAGGAGAAAAGTCGAAGAGAAACGCCTCTTCGGGAGGTTATCATCGGGAAGCATGAATGCGGAGAGAAAGCTCGTTGCGTAAGCCCTACGGCGAGACGACATCGGCGCTCTGGCCAGGGTGGTATCCGGTGTCTCTCGGGCTACCGGCGAGATGGCTAAAAATACGATGACCCGCGTTTCGAGAAGTGGCGTTTCGATTTATTATTACACCCGATGGTGGAACGGGCTGGCTAACTGTCCCGTCCTATCGCCGGCCCGGCTAACAATAGAGTTTAGGCACAAGCCTAAGCGGCACCAGAGTTTGCCGAACCATTACGTAACCCCGGGGTCCCGGGCTCGCGTGCTGGCGAACGGGAAAGTGGGTGCCACCCCGGCCGCCATTTTGGTCCCGCGGGTCCCGCTCCGGGAAGCCTGGATCCGGTACCATTTTGACCTCACGAACCGACGAAATGTCACCGGGATCGATTTTTCGAAAAATGCCGATTTCACCGGAAGAATATTTTTCATGCCTTTCCATGGTTTTTCATGATTTTTCATGAGTTTTCATGGTATCTCATGGTTTTCAGAATTTATAACAACGCAATGGGAAAAAATCTTTTTCTTTATATTTACGGAGGAATTTTAAAATCCCACTAATTAGCGATCAAAGAAATCATGAAAAAAATTGTCAATATTTCGAATTGGGCGAAAAATAAAATGTCGGTATCCAGGCCTCGCGGTGGTCTCCCGGCGGTCCCTCGATGGTCCCCAATGGTCCCCGATGGTCCCCGATGGTCCCGGGTTCCCAGCGCGCCCCGACAGCTTCGCGCGCTCGGCTTTGAGCGGGCCGAAAGCTCCGAAACGTTATTCCGTTCTCGAAATAGAGTCGGGGACGCCCGATACGGTGACGTCGATGCCGACGCCGCGACGCCCTGCCCTGTGCTTTTTCTACACCTATATATAGCGTCTAGTCATAACCCGCGGGCGTGTGTGCCCCGTACGCGCCCAGCCATGTAGAGTTACGCGTAACCAACCACTCGGCCTTACATCGCGGAATATTTCCGCCGAGCGGGAACGCTGCATTCCACCGCAGGATTATACAAGCCGACATTACGCCCCGATTTAGCCCGCCAGCGGGAAAACTGCTGGCGGCGAACGCCCGGCAAAATAACAACCCCCTGTGCCTCTTAAATTTCCCGAAAGAAATATATAAAATAATTTTCCCCTAAACATGAATTTTCGCGTCAACTGGAAAAACAAGTCGGACTCTCCATAGATACGCGAGACTTGATTTTCCGGACTTTATCCCGGAAAAACCCTATAAGTGAAGCACACAGGCAGGTCGTCCCTACTTCCCTGTCGATGGATACAGGGGATAAACAAATGTCGCGTTAAGGAGACCGGAAGTCAGTTTCTTCCAGGTTGACGTACCTCGCCGCCAGGCAGGCCAACGGAGACGACGTCCCCCTTGGTCGCCTTGATCTCCCCAAGGAGGTATCCATCCTTCTCGTCGGGTACCCAGCAAGCCTTTTTCGCATCGTAGGGCTTCGACTGGTCGATTCTCTTCTGCTCGAGGGAGACGAAGAGGTACGGGGTTGGGTCGGGATCCTCCCCCTCCTGAGGCTTCGGCTTCGGCATCCTGGATCACCGGATCTGGGTCGTCCGGAGGTGTCCCTGGTGATGACTCTCGGGGCTCGAGAGTTTGCTAGAGCAGGGTCGTCGTCGGTTTTTCGTGGGTTCTCGGTGGCAACCAAAGTCGGCGGCGGACGGACTACTTCTGGCGGCACGATCTGGGCGGCCCTGTCCACCAACACACAAGACCAATCCTTAGCCGTCTTTTTATACGTGTACCTGCTTAAATATATAACTCATTATGTGTACGGCGCACACCCGCCGGCGCCTTCTCTCGGCGTCCACAAATACCCGCACACGGACACGCGGATCCACGCACACCCGCACCCGGGGGAGGAGCGTTATTTATAAGCGTCCGATCCTCCCGCGCCTTCCCCGACCGAGAGAATTGTTCCCCGAGTTCCGGCCTTCGAGCTCCGAATTCGATCCGGGCCTTGCATGGTATCGTCGCCCGATCGCCAGGAATCTCGACCGGAAGCCGATGACGAGCCGCTCCGAGACCGAAGACCAGATCTCCCCCGTTAAACGACTCCAAGGGAGGAAGAACGAAACCTCTTCCGAAATGTCAAGCATTTTGTGAAAAAAATAATTAAACGAGATAAATCAATCCTAAGCTCGAGGATAATTTCGGATCTCTAAAGACGAAATTTCTAAAATTATTATTCTTTATCAAATAGAGGGTCGCGCAAAGCCTATATCGTATGGGATGTCGAAGACGAATATTAATTTTGTGATGGGGTGTAAAGCTACGTTACACTCGAGAACTTGGAATTGATTTCGGAAAAGGGACGGTAAAGTCACTTTCGACGTACAAGTGAATAATTTGGATTTTATGGAGAATGTCCAAGTGGGGAAGCGATGTGGCATCGGACGCGGCTCGACCCCTGGTCGGCTCCGATTCGACATTTCGGGAGCGATACGTTCCGGTTGGAAAATAATTTAAGCCCGTAACATGAACCGGATCGGGTTTCCGAGAGATAAAAAAAGACCCGGGAACTCGCCGGACGACTCGGCGGGGTTGTTACGACGTTTAACCCTTTCGAGCGCCGCGTCTCTCGTGGCGATTCGCTCTTCTCGTGGGACAGGGAATTTTCTCAATAACCAGAGCGACGTAACGAACGAAAAATGAGTTTCCGACCTTTCGAACGAGTTTTAACGGAACACCCGCTCATATTTTCGCAGGACTTTCCAAACTTAAAATTTAAGTATCTAGGTAAATAGGTAAAAAAAAATGTACTTTATATGCAACTATTTCGACGGAGGAAAAAATCGAATGAGCATTTTTGGTATTATCTGACAGACAAGTTAACATAACAAAAACTTAACCCCGTCCTTTACCTCTAATTTCATAACATTGAGAATATTAGCACGCGCGCGAGATCTCGGGACTTATTCGTTGGAAAAAATGAGCGAGCGATCCGACCACAGGAAAGAATGATTCACCGCCCGGAGGAATCGCGCGGCGTCCCGCGGCCATTTCGTGGCGGTCTACTTGGCCGTTCTCGCAGGTCTCTAGAGCGTCCTGGTCTATCAACTGATTCACTGTCACTGTCGACATCGAGAGAAATACGGAAACCACGTTCTACGGGGGTCCAGGGTCCTGGGCAGGTCCTCCACGTGGCGGCTCCCGTCTCCCGCAAGAGAACCGCGAAAGCGTCACTCGGTCACGAAGCAAAATGGCGGCGGTCGGCTCGGTCCACCCGCTTAGCGATACGATAAGGGGTGGCGGGAGCGTAGATCCTCTGGAGAGCACTCCCGGGACCGAGGGATCGCGAAAACTCGCACTTGGGTCGGCGCACTTACGCGGCGGAGGCTCCCTATCTCGCCGGGGAGATTCAAAGGTGGAGACCCGAGTTACCCTCGGGTCAAGGCCAAAGGGGCCGATCGCTCACCGCCCAGCTCCTCTCTTTCTCTCTCTCTTTCGCCCTTGCAATCGCTCGCTCGCACTCACGCTCTCTCCCGAGTTCCCGGTCCCTTCGCTCCCTAGAGGGTGGTCGGAATGCCCGGGTGCAAGATGGCGCCGACTCGCGTCGACGGGGTCGCTCGGCGAGGTGCGCAGGGTACCGAGAATACGACCGACGTGGTGCACTTACGTTAGAGAGCCGTTCTGTCAGGGAAGGAACCCGAGGCTCCCAATATAAGCGCGTGCAACGTGATCCTGGGCTGTGGCGCGCGCCCCCATTGGCCGGGCTCTCGGCCAATCGGCGCCTACGTTAGTTCCTGGCCCAATCTACCTTTTTAGGTGGAGATGATACCAAAAGTGTGACAGGGGTGGCCGCGGAAACCTCCGAGCGCCGCGCCTTTGAAGTGAGATGAAAATAGAAGGCAGAGAGAGACGGACCCATCGACCGAGCCGGGCCGAGCGGCGAGGTAGCGCGATAGCTGCCGCTAGCGGGATAGCGGTTAAAACGAGCGGGACGCAGCTCGCGCCGACGATGACGCTGGACCGGGAACCGCCACGCTGGACGAATTCTGCCGCTCCTTGCGCGTGGGTTAGGTTAGGTCCCGCGCCATCTTTCTTCGCCGGGGACGCCGGCGGCCCGAGCCGCTCTCGTCGTTTTCAAAAATCCTTCCGGAAAGACGTACGAACCCCGATCGTTATTTCCATATTTTGAAGGGGAGATCTTCGGAACTTTGGGAATGGGCTGGAGACCCGGATATCAGGAAACGGGGTATCTGCAAAAGGCAAGATTTTCGCTGCAAAGATATTGTCCCGCTTATTTTAATTGAATTTCTTTTCGGGACGCGTCGTTAATTCTGGTTCTTATAGGAGCTGCTAGAAGGACCCGATCTCTCGCGCGGTAACGAGGAGGACGAAGTAGTAAGAGACGCGTCGTGGCAGCCGCAGCGTTTGTCATATGTCAGCTGTTCCGCTTGAGCCACGTGGCAAGTGCACGTGGTCCTCTTATGCGAACGAGACGGAGTTGCGTTCTCATCTCTCCTCTCTGACCCTCTCTGTCTCGTTTTCCCGAAATTGATGTCGGCTCCCCTTGCATCTCTATCGTTTTAAAATCTAATTCTCACCAGAATTCGCGTCGCGCCACCGCGTGCTTACCTCGCCGTCCCAGAAATCATTTCTCGAGAGAGTCAGGTGACACCGGAACACCTCGCGGTATCTTTCGAGTAGTATTGACCGATAAATTGGCACAGCTGGCAGATCGCTGCATTCCACATTCGTTACCGGTGAGTTCGGCACCGATTCAATTGTTCCCGAATATTCGTGAATGACAACAGGTATCGGGTTCGCTCGAGAACTCGGACGTTGCACCGACGATGACACCTGAAATTAAAATAGGCAAGTAATTTTACCCAAACGAGTGGAATTAATTATTTAAACTTCAATGTATGAAAAAAAAAAATTCTGGCGCGTCACGCGAAGGTAAGGATCGCCTCTGTGAAACATTGCAGTGAAACATCGCTGAGAGATTTCTATCGGATTCGTCATCCAGATAATCATCCGCGGACTTGGTCCACGGAAGGACGAATTCTAAAACCTTCCTATAAATATTCGAACGCGTGTGCAGCCGTAGATGCAACTCGCAGCCCGTGTGGAGGTGAGTGCGTAGGAGAACCCGGGAAAGAAGTGGGGAGCCGACGAATATACCGAACGGAGGTGCATACCCAGCGCGAGTGGCGAATAGATGAGCGATTGGTAAGAGTGCTGCACGGATTAGCAGCCTTGGCCATTCAAACGAAGCCTCTAAACCGCTAATAATATTTACCTAGACCTTCAATTTTGCCGGGATGTCCATGCCTTTCGATCGGCCGAAATCGTGATCGCGGTAATATCGAATCGCAAAGAGAACTGGCAGGCAAGTGGACCTCCTTTGTCCGATCCAGCAGGGAATGCGATACTGGAGCAAGGAATATTTCTGAAAAATCGTGTACTCTTTACAGGAGGAAAAGTCGGATCATGAGATGGAACCGCATATCGAGTGTCCGTTCCTCGGGTAGTCCCCTTAAAATCGGAGAGCGGAGAGCATAAACAAGCTTTAGCTTCTGGCAACGGCGAACCGTCGAGACAACCGAGCGGAGGTTCTCGCTCGCTCCTCGTAGGAAGGAACAGAGGTGGCGACTCTTCTTTTAGTCCTCGCCGTCGATCGGACCTGAGGCACGCTAAGTATTCGCGTCATCGAGGGACGTGATACGCCGGTGCCTGAGCCTCGGCGAGATCGAAATGCACGGAAATAGATCGGTTGCGCAATATACCGGTAAATTAAGATTCCTAAGTACGCAAGCGCGTACACCGCTATGTACCGATGTTCATTGCTAGGCCGATTAAAATGGCATAGCCCCGCCGACTCCGGCCGTCCACCCGGCCCTCTTCTTGCCGCTTCCTTCCGCAAACCATTAATCTCCGATCCATCAAACGACTCGAATTAGAGCCAACTCGGTCCTCGATCTAATTCCCGCTCTGCGGAAGTCGACCGATATAAACCGATAAGTGCTCCAAAATACCCCGATTTCTGACCGACGAGGTCTCGAGCGAGATGAGAAAATTGGCACATGGAGCGACTCGAAGAAAAGTCATGAGAAATTAATTTGCTAGGACTCGTCGATACAGAATTACTGGGAAATCGGTTTAAAGAGCGATCAAGAGCGAGTCGGCGGGGCCTTTTAGCGCGGCGACGGCGACGATTTGCGCATTCGGACGCACGGATACAGCTCTTACTCATGCTAGAACTAAACGAGCCTTTGACCCGAATACCGATCGTCTCTGTCTTCTCGTCCCGGGCGGCCAGTTGTTCCGTCTTAAGGTGCGTTCACCGTCGTCTTGCAAAAACCGAATCGAAACCGTCCTGTTTTGTCGCTCCTCCCGTACTTTCTTCTGATTTTTTTCCCTTGGGCATTCTATGTGAAAAACGATATTCGTTTGTTTTAGGTATCTCTCGATGAGCAACATCTTGTAGCGTCCTGCGACGCCATCTTGAAATGTTACCTCGTGCGAACACCCTCGTGGTTTTTCGTAACGTTCCTCGGGAATGTTAATTGAGCGAGCATTTCGACAGAAAGCACTTTTGTCTTGGTAACTCGGAATTGGCATAATCAAAGTTGGCAGGGTCAGGCCGACTCTCCAAATCCGACCAGCCGTTTCAAAATCGACTCCGAGTGGCCCTCTACTTCCGTGGTGCCGCCATTATGTACCTGTAAGAGCGACAAATGGCGAACATTTTTCACCGTGGAAAGGGATCCGCAGTCAAGGTCGACGTCGAACCAGAAACCCCTTCACCCAACCGGAGCGCTCATTAGAATGCATCTTGTTAAATTCCGCGACGTATATCCGACATTCTTGCGAAAGATCGTGCCAACAAATGGGTCATGCGTCGCTTCGTCGCCATTAAGAGAAAAGTTTTATCGAGTAAATTACGACGTGAAATATATAGGTATAAAATGTCGCATTTGCTCGCTTCTCGGCGCGACCTGTTCGCAGGAGGAATTCCACGATTCCAGAGGAAGGGTCGCAAAACCTCGCGGACTCTTGACGGCCAGAGACGGGAGTAAGAGAAGAAGCGACCGAATCCGCGATTATTTCGGGATCGGGCGAAGATAAACCGGGCCAACGTCGACCGCGAACGAAGCGGGATGAACGGAGCCTTGAAGCTGACTCATCCTTTTAGACTTTCGCATCGAATGTAGCTTCCTCGCGTGACGATCGAGCTTCCAACGTGTCTTGCAACTTGCGTCGCATCATCTTGTCGGGTGTAACATCTTCATCGCCAACGATCCTGTCTCCTAGGGCCAGCAAACCCCAACCTTGCACCTCTTCCGCACCGATCCAAGATGGCGGCTCCCACTGCAGCATTCAACATTTCGCGTTACACCTGAAAAACATAACGCATATATCTCGACGTTCCCGGAAGCTAGATAGAGAAGTCGAAAGGGAGGTGCGATCGAGGGCGAGGTCCAAGTGCAAGTTCAAATATAGATCGGATAACGGACTTCTTGGCAGGCCCATCGCGCGAGAAAGAAACGCCCAGAAAAACTCCGTTCGTCGGGAAAGCTACCGCATCGCAATCGCTGCCGTAATGTTTCGTTCCTTCCAGATAATTCCCCGCAATTTGAGAAAAATCTAGTTAGGTTTCGTCGAATTGCAAGTAGCTATAAATCAGTTGAATTTTTAGACCAGCGGTTTAAAGAATGAGAAATTTTACAGGCAAAGCTTTCGAGTTATTGCGTAAGTCCAGAAACGCCTCGCTCCAGATCGTTCCAGACTCCGAGTTGGTCCTCTTTTTCTCTGAGCTTCCCATGTTTCCGTTCTTTTTCCGCTCAAAGTCGCTCCTCTTTCCGAACGTTGGTGGCGCTCTTCGCGGCTGCTGCGGCGGCAGCGGGAACTAACTCTTTTTCCGCTACTTCTGGGCTGACCGCGGCCACCCATGCTATTTCGGTACCTGAGCCGACCAAGAGCCGACTCGGTGCCGGCATGCCCTGCACGACTCTACACCTCGCCTCGGCTTATTTCTCTCTCTTCCTCTTTCTCCCTCCGATGGAATTGCCGAGCTTCGAGTACTCGCGTTGGAAAAATCACTCGCCTCAAATCCGAATGCGATATTAGTTTCCAAAGAGAAAAATCGACTTTTCAAAGGTTCGTCTACTGGTACTCCGATTGCCGACCCATAACATTGATATCTGTTAAAAAAGGAGGACTTGTAATAACAAAAACTACGTAACAAATCCCCTACGATTATATGTAGAGGAAAGCGTCCCTGATGTGGACAGATAACGCAAGTATTATATTTCGTTTTGTAATCGTTGCTATATAAGGCAACGACTATTTTTAATCGCAAGGTCGATAACAGAAAAATATAAATATAATGTGGTGTATCATTCGATCCAGGATTTTTTTTTTGCAAATCTGGTTTATCTCTGTGGCGCCAGAGAATATGTACTTAGTTCCAGATATTTCGTCAGAGAGCAGTATATACACGATCGCGTGGAGAGAATTTCCAAGTGCACCTAATTTATCCCTGGATGGTAACATCGTGATCACGTGTTCACAACATTTAATATAACCTCACATGGTAGAAAATGCGGCCGGAGAAAATCCGGTACTTTGTTAATTAAATATTAAGTAGGAAAGTATACATAATTTGAGTATGGCAAACACGAGTGCAAACAGCGATACTCCCCAGATTCAAATACGGCTTTTAACGAAACAGGAACAGTAAGCAAATTAATCTTAACATTTATTATAAGAAACGTACATTCCTCGTCACCACGTGGTTGTTTTGAAAACCGCTATAATTTCAAATTTAACCTTTCTGTATCTAGGTATGCAGTTCCAGACTATCCTTTGTCGGTACCGTCCACCATAGTGACCAGTGATCTTAGTGGCCTAGTAAATGAACTTCTCAAAGGTACTGACGACCGTTGATGCAGATCTCCCTTTGGTGATTTTTTACTCGTTGATTTTATTTTTGCAGAATCAGCATCGTCGAGTAAGGAGACCGATTTTGATTTTCTTGTGTGTAACGAATTTTTACGAGTCTCGTTATCTGAACATATCAATGAAAGAGGAGTATCTACCGAGAATGTTATTGACGTCGAGTATCTGGAAAGGCATCCACCGCCAGAACCTCACGATTGTCTTATACATGACGATTGGGTATCGGCAGTAGCCGCGTGCAATCGATGGTTGGTATTCAATTCATAGTTCAAAAAAATATGAGAGCCATAATTAGGAAATCGTTTTCCTAGGATATTAACGGGTTGCTATGATAATACGATACACATTTGGACGTCGAAGGGAAAACACCGTCTTACCATCCCTGGACACTCATCTCCTGTAAAAGATGTAGCTTGGATCTCGTTGACCGAAAGTACTGCTACATTTGTCAGGTAATCGGTGGTTCATTTAAAAGTAATTATATTATTTAAAAAATTTGTATTGGTTTAAACTCCTGAATTTTCTGACTGCAGTGCATCTCAAGATCAAACAGCTATAATATGGGATTGGAATATTGAACAAAATTCAGTGGAATGTGTTCATGTCTGCAAAGGGCACGAGCGGGGCTTAGAAGCAGTCGGTGTTAACTACAATGGCTCCTTCATGGCAACCGGTGCTTGGGATACGATGCTGAAAATATGGTCGACTTGTAGGTAATATTAAAATCGTTATTATAAATTCCTTACAACAATTTTTTTCCTTATCTTAGCAACGAAGGATGAAAATGAAGATGGAGTATCCGCTTCAAAAAGGCTTAAAACCGAACATGGTAAAACTCGAGTAAGTACAGATTTTTTTTATTCATTTGCTATAGATTCAGCATTAAATATTTTTTATTGCTATTTTTTTTTACATTTAGACACCAATATTAACTTTGCAAGGACATAAAGAGGCAGTTAGTGGAATCTCCTGGTCGGGCAAAACAGATGTAGTGACTTCTTCCTGGGATCACACTCTGAAATTATGGGACACCGAGTTGGGTGGAATTAAGCATGAAATTGCAGGAAATAAGAGCTTCTTCGACGTAGACTGCTCACCGATATCAAGACTCCTCGTAACAGCTTCAGCGGATAGGCACATTAGGCTTTACGATCCCAGATCCACTGGTTAGTGCTTCGTGCTCCTTTAATTTATGTTGATTTAAATAATTACAGCATCTCAAAATTATTATTGCAGAAGGAACAATGGTTAAGGCGACATTCTCTTCGCACACACAATGGGTGCAGTCCGTTCGATGGTCAAAAACTGATGAATATCTCTTTGTCTCGGGTGCATACGATAACAACGTTAAATTGTGGGATACACGCAGGTTAGTCGATTTTAAAATCATATACAAAGTTATCATTTTAAGACGATTACTTGAACCAATTAAATATATAAACGATGTGCAGCCCGAAGGCATCGCTGTACGATCTCATCGGACACGAAGACAAAGTACTCGGTTGTGACTGGTCGAACCCAAAATTCTTGGTATCCGGAAGTGCAGACAATACCGTGAGAATTTTCAAATCAAAACTCGCCATGCATTAGATTAAAATACGAACGAGGCTGGTTTTTAAGTTAATAATAAGGATTAAGTTCCCTAACACGTTCCACGTCTCCATTTTACCATCACGGATAACATTGTGTAGTCCAACATGCCACTTCTTCCATAACGTCTCCTTCGTTATTTAATCGTTTAATAAAAATATGAATTATACCCTAACTCGAGGGAACCTTTGAAATCGTCCCCGAACGAGTCAACTCCAAAGTCCTCCGAAAGCGAAGAAAGACCACGAATTGTCCACGTAGAAGAGATAGCAGAAGCAATGGATGAAAGCGGCCACTCAAACAAGAACTCTCGGTAAGTCCCCAAAACAGATCTTTTTATTGATCAAAAATAAGGGACGATGGTAATAATTAGGAATTCGATCCTCTCTTTCTCGCATCACGAGTGTACCAAACCATATTTCGTAAGTAACTCTAAAGATCGGTCGGGTGCATGCTCTTAAAAAGGGTCTTAATACGTGTCCCAAGAGCGTGCACCTGCGGCGTGCAGTAGTTTTACAGTTAACAGTGTATGCGTGTGTATCTACTCGTCTACGCGAATTCGCACAAAATGCGTGCCTATGTATGTCGCGGAAAGGTCAGCGAACACGCGGGACATACTCGCTCTTTCGCTCCGTCCCTCCCCTGCTCGCGTATTCCCCAGTATCTCCGTCTCCTTCTACCCGCCGATTTAGAGTACCCTACCTAAGAGCCCACGTTTGACATTTCTCACACAAGGACTAGCTTTTTTTCTCTTCCCTCTCGCTTTCCCTCGTTTCCCTCCAAACGATCCAAAATAAACTAAGGGCACTTTTAGTGGCGTATGCCCTGTCCTTACCTCGAGTTTTTATTCACTTTTTTTTTTTGTTTGTCTCATGAAAAATCTAATTCTGACCTTGTTGTTAAACTTTGTTTTATTACAGCACCTATCTCGACTGCTAAAGAGTCCCTAGTGTTTTTTTGTTCCTTAGCTAACTATGACACACTTGCCTTAACGTCTACGGGTTCATTTTCCTCGCTACGCGCTACGCCTCGCCATCTTAAGAGTAACCCTAGAAAAAGAAAAGCTCTTAAATCGACCTCTTTTTTTTTTTCTTCTTCTATTAACGACTAAGAGGAGCATCCCTCTCTCTTTAATCTACCTTTCCGCGTTTCTCGCACCGAACGGGAGGGAAGAGACGCCATCTTCCCTCCGGTGCGCGGGGAAAGGACCGCTCGAAAACTCGAAATTCACCTCTTGGGAACTTCGGGCAACCCCCGACGCACCCCGTGATAAACGCTCGCGGAACATCCGCCGCGATTCCCAAGGAGTTGCCCTCGCCGACGGAAAGGAAGGGAAAATAAGTGGAACCGAAGCGTCGACTCCTCCACCGCGCGAGGACGCGGAGAAGAGGACCGGTTCCAGGATAGAAGTGGAAAGCAAACGAACGCGGTCGACGATTTTTTTTTTTTTTTCATCTCCGCCATTTCCCCCGCGAAAGCCGTTCTCTCTGTCTCTCTCATTCACCTTCGGTCTCTCCGCCTATCCCATTCATGCCCGGAAACGACGCAGGAAGTACCTACAACGATACGAAACAAGACGTACAGCGGGTAGGGGGTGGACCTCGGGGAAGGAGCAGGGTATATCTCGATATAAACCAAGAACGTTACAATTAAATCTCTCCTCTTTTAACAATGTAAAACAATGACTTAAAACTTCGCCAACTAAGGACTGTACAACGTCGAAGTACAACGAACGTTTCTCGTCGCAGCTCTCTCTCTCTATCTCTCTATCTCTCTTCCCGTCTTTCTCTCGGTCCCTTTCACGCGAATCTAAACTCTTTCTCCCTCTCGGTCGCCTCGCTTAAGCCGATTATCACTTAAACGTGTAGTTACTTAAAAACACTTTCTACGTTTCGCTACGCCTAATCCTAAGAGACTACTGGGCCTAAACTCTAACGGAGGCTAATCCCTAGAAACTCTGGCGTCTCGCGCGCGCGGGATGATCGTTTACGAGTTACGATAATAATTACTCAGCCCTAAGAAAAGCTTACGGGAAAGCAGGTTTAATTCGGCCGGCTGGGAGCGCGCGGGCTCCCGCGGCCGAGAAAGAGTCGTCAACGCGCCCGGCCAGCCCGTTGCACCCGACCCGTGGTGCGCAGCAAGCAGTCCTTACTATTATATTATAGTAGATATAATATAATATAATGTTGTAGAATAATAATATATTTATATCATTAATATGAATAGCCAGTCAGTCTTGACGGGTGCGAGGTGCATAGGCTGAACGGTGTCCCTCCCAAGCGCGACAACGTGGAGAGAGACAGAGTTGTCCTTATTCGGAGCCTAACTAACCGCTAACTAACTAGCCTAGTCGGTAGTCCTTTAAGCCTAGCTTACGGTCTAGCTTATCACCTAGCCTATCGTAGCCTAAGTTTTAGCCTAGACCTTATAGTTAACGAGCCTAGATTAGATCGAAATCCGAGAATAGTTCCTAGCCTATTCATAGTCAACGCTAGCTACGCGTCTCTCTCTTCCTCCTTCCTTCACGGCGTCCCTCCGTTCCTTCGTCTCTCTCGTCCCCTTCCCTCTCTGTACAATAATTATACTCCCCCTCTCTCGCTTCCCGCTCTTCCTCTCGTCTCCTCTCGTCTCCTCTCGTCTCCTCTCGCTCTCTCGAGGCGCTTCCCTCCCTCTTTCGTCGCGAAGCTGTACACGTCGGCCGAAGCTTCTTTTCGTTACTTTTTTTCATACACTGAGGAGGTCTTGAGCAGAATTAGATCGAGCACGGTTCTCGGTGAAAATTATCCCTAAACTCAACCGGATAAATAAGGTGGTCGACGAGGTATTTGCATTTCTCCTTCTTCCTCTTTCTCGAGGGAGGACGCTTCCTCCAGCTGGACAAAAACGGTTTGTCAGAGACTCGGGATGTCTGGTTCCTCCGTTTCTCTCTTTCTCCCTTTGAATCCCACCTTCGGGCAAGGTACTCCCGTTTTTCGATACCCTCTCGATTTCCTTCGTTACGATCCCACTTTTTCTTCGTTATAATCCGATTTCGCTCGACTCCTCCTCAATTGTATCTTTGTTTATTTAATTATTATTCCCGCTAGGGTAGGGCGATGCACTAGTGCCCGGCCCGTTCTTCGTGTTTTGGTCGTCACGATAATAATTAATTATTTAGTACAAGTCTATCAGTAAAATTCTCAAAATTCACTATTTTTAATCACATGTGATTTTTGTTGTCAGTCGGGGTGACAATCGCCTTGTGCAACGACACACGTTCTCTCTCTCTCTCTTTCTCTCTCTCTCTCGCTCGTTCTCGCTCTCTTTCTCGCAAATAGGTATTATTATTTTCTCCTTACACAAGTCATTCTTTCTTCTTTTTTTTTTTTTTCCTAATGCATTTTGTCAACTCTCTCTCTCTCTCTCGCATGGACTCAAATCGAGCTTAATAATGGGCTTCTTAAAAAATAGTTCATACGCCGCTTTCATCTTATTTATCTTTTTTTGTCTTATCTCGTTTATCTTCTTGTCATCAAATTGTGATGTACCAAAATAAACTAAATATATTATTTACTTCAAGTTTCAACAGTGTAAAAATCTTTCATACTTTAGATGACACGTCAATAATAGTAATCGTTTAATTATAATAATACAGCATATTATTGTAATATTATAATAATAGCTACGATCGCCTCTACTCTATTTAACTACCTGACACCCGCCACTCGTCGCGCGATCGCGAGGCTCGCAATATTTGGTAGAAAGCTTTTCTTCGTTCCTTTGCTTCTTCCTCTGTCTCCGTCACCTCGTACGCCTTTCCCCGAAAGAGCAGCAGGTCACGGGGAACTCGTATCTCGTCGGTTTTCCCTATCCCTTTCCTTCTTTCTCCACTTACGTGTCCAGGGGGTATCGCGGGAGAGGAGGGTGATGGTACTCGTCATTGTCCTTGTCGTACCGAGAGAACGACTCTTACAAGATAACCAAATTACCGTGCCGTTATCGCGCAGTTGCCTCGTCGGCTCGGATTGACATTTCACGTGATCGGTCTAATTAAATTCTCATCTCGCCTTTCGGCGGTAAACCGAGACCGCGTGCCGCGCCTTTCGCTCTTGCTCTTCGATCCGATCAGCTGTTTACTGCCCGGAGAAAATTTCTACCATCGTACCTCTGGACGGTACTCGGCCAGGTGGAAATTAAATTAATGGACATAGAGCTACTCCTTATCGGCGTATCCCGATATTCCAAGCGGATCGTTCCGTGGTGGTGATATCCAATCGATACAAGTTTGACCGTTCAATGTACGTAAGAAAATGCGGCTCGAGGGTTGTACCTCTAATCTCAGGATAAATCTGTATCAAATCCCTTTCTCGGTAGGTATTTCATTATGTAATCACTTCTCGTCCCGATAACGGCTCTGTCTCGTAACGATCGTTGTAATCTCGGTAAGAGGGTAGAAGGTTGTTGAGCGTAACCGGTAGGTTAACGTGAGACAAAGTAATCGTAAAACCTGCTCGCAGACCTCCTTTGTAAGAAATCGCAATTACTTCCTATTGTAATTGTCATAGTCCTGATTTTTTTTCCCTGCCTCGTGGGCGGCCGTTTCGTTTGCTCGCAAGCCGTCGGCGTAGCTGAATCCCTGTTCAAATTAATCCAAACGCGATTTGACTTTTAAGACCCCCCCCCAGGTTGTCGATTACGAGCTCACGCGTAACGGGCATCGGTATGTACAAAACGTCGGGACAATTTCGCGGAAAATATTGCAAACGATCCCCCTTTCGGACGAGGCAATTATACAACTGAGGCGGCCGTCAAACCCAAACGAGGTGCGAATTTCATTTCGTTGCGAATCCCCTGTAAAACTATTTTAATTAGGTACTCGGCTCCGATCATTAAGTCTCCGGGTCTCCTCGAGAATTTGGCCAAATTTCCGAGGCGCTCGACAACGGACATCGAGAATGGCTTTTCAATCCAAGTACACGCCTAGCATACCCGCTTATCCCCGCAACGCGTAATTAAGAAAGGAATAATCCCGCTGGTTACGCAGTATAAAACTACACAGTAAGGTATAAAACGTGTAAAATTCGAAAACTCAAGAACCTGATTACGAGTGTCTTATCAAATGAAGGCGTTCAGCTGACGTTTCGTCGGATTTCCTCTAATCTCAGGTTATTCTTCTACCGTCTCTCTCTTTTCTCTTAGTCCCAGCCTGAACTCCGGTAGCGACTATCTAAACAATTTGTTACAAATAAGTGTGGTCACTCTAGGTCGTGATTCCTTCAAGAAGTCTTCGGCATAATCCCTTACGGCCATAACTGCGACTTCGCAAATGGCGTTCCTCTTTCGTTTCATTTTTTTCTCATTTTTCTAACTTCGACGCTCTCTCTCTCTCTGAGACTCAGATTGCACGCGCTGCTTCTCCGGCCAGCTGTCAAACTGGCAGTCCCTTTACAGTGGCAACTATACAATACAAAATCTATATCAAATCGACAACCAAAAACGAGAACGTAGTGGCTTTCATATAAAGTGGCTACAACGCGGAAACAATTAATATCTCCTTTCGTATCAACTAGAAGATTAAAAAATTTGGCTCGAGTGTTACTTCCTCTTCGTTTTTACGTTTTTCCTATTTTTTTTTTCTCCCTTTTTCTCCCTCACCGACTTACGTGTGTGGTGTGTACCGACGTTAAAAATATATTATAATTACGTTTTCTTTCAGCACATCCCTGTCTCCCAGCGGACCTGTCTGAAAAGGCACAATCCTAAAAAAAATATTCTGTATTCGCTGTACAATTAAAACTGACACATCGATTCGCAGTAACCGTACTCATAAATATAATGCTCTAAAAAGTACTATTTTTTTTTACTCTCTCTCTCTCTTTCTCCCTCTCTGTCTCTCTTTCTCCCCTTTCTGTCGTTACATCCTCTTGGTATATTACTTCCACTTTCGGGCTCGCGCAATAGACGCGAGTACCATAGTCCCGAAGGCTCTTTAGATATAAAGCTTTTTCCCCTTTCGCGACGTCCGGTATATATATATATATCCCTTCAACGCGATTTCCTCTCGCAAAATACACGTATGCCGTCCGCGGACTGAAAGCGAAACCGAAGCGAATCGAAACGAAGATGGAAACAAGGAGAAACGATCGGGGAAACGCGCTAGTCCGCGCCAAGTGCCTCCTGTTTGGAATGTCTTAACCAAGGATAAAAAGCAAGCATGTCCTATTATAAAAGGGATGAAAATATTTTTATTTTCGGATTTCGATTCGATTGCAACCCCGTGAAAGGCACGCCTCGCTTGCACCTGCGCGGACCTTCAAATGAAAGACCATTTTGGGGACTTTACATATCCGACAACGCTAAAAACTCATCCGAGGACGCCCAAATCGTCCTTTCGACGCGCTAAACGGGGCAACCGTGAACAATAATTAATTTCGTTTGGCATCGATAGAATGTGTACTTTACGGAATTGCAATCAAACTTGCAAACGAAAGTCCCATTCGAAGCGAAGGAAAAAAAAAAAGAATAGAATAGAAGAAGAGAACTAAACGAAAAACGCGATGAGAGAGAGCGCAACGCGTGGGTGTTCGGGCGGTATGCGCAGCGGTGCAAGGAACCGCGAGGTAATACTCGAGCAATGCATCGGCGTACGCTACGAATTAATTTCCTAGTCTCGTTAAAGCCTAACATACGAATTAAGAGAGTGATTGCAGCAATTGAACTAAAGCTTCGTAGCAAAAGTTACGAGGCTAGAAGAGGAGGCAATACCTCGCGGCTTCTCCAGAAGGCGGCGCGATTGGCGGCCAATCAACCAGCCAGCTGGCGCAAATCCGACTGTAATGCTGACACTATACATTAATCATGTCTTATCTCATTAAAGTCTAATTACAAATTACTCGAATAATTTGTCGCTAAGCCAGTTCTCGCGGGCTTATTTAGAAATTACGGGGCGCAATTGGCGGCCAATCGGCCAGCCCGCTGGCACAATTCCGGCTGTAGTTCGGGAGATACGCGACATTACTCGACTAATCCGATTAATATCTAATTACAAATGACGCGAGCAATTTGTAATCGAACGAAATTACAAACTTATTACAAATTACGGGCCGCAAAAGGCGGCACAATTGGCGGCCAATCAGCCAGCCAGCTGGCACGAGTCCGTCAGCGGTGTCAGCCGATGCGAATTAATTTCCTAGTCTCGTTACGATCTAACGACGGACCGATCGAGTGATTTCGGATTGAATCGTGGCTTATTCTCTTTTTCCCTTTTTTTTTCTCTCAAATTACAAAAACAAACGACACCTCCTTTTTTCTATCCGAAAAAGAAAGAAAACTAACGCGGCACGATTGGCGGTCAGTTAGCCAGCCAGCTGGCGCGAATCCGGTTGTATAGTGTTGGGCATTGTGGCATCCTTGTTTACAGTATTCTTAACAAATCGTTTGCACAACTTATAACCGAACCAAGCTCTTTACAGATCGTGTACTGCAGCTATGGCGCGACAACGCGAATCAACAGAGAAAAGTAGTCACGTTTGCGGCATCCTATGCGACGCTTCAAATCGGTGCACGTATTCGAAGCTATTTCTCAATAAATATTATTCACAGGCTTTGAAAACAAGTAAATTCAACTATTTTCGCGTAATCAAAAATATAGTTAATTCGAGGAGCGGCAGGTCACCCCGAAAAAAACGAACTCGCTATCCATGGGCAAAGTCTACCCTTCCCGTCTCTACTAACACAGGGAGCCGATCAAAACGCTACATTAGTCTTTCACTCGACTCTGGAAGAAATGACATCCCTGAATGTGGCATGCGATCGTTCGAGTACTAAACATTACCTCGTACTTATATTCATTAAGGGGTCCGTAATAAAATAGAATATTAGTCCATATTGCAATAATAACTGCAATTCCTAAAGCATTATTCAGAATCCCAAATGGACATTTCTGTCGGTAATTAGGGATGCGGATAGCGTTTGCATCATTAACCCTACGAGTTGTTTTCAATTGCCCATTACTTTTGAAAAATATATTCAATCCATGCCTCGACTCCGACTAACCAGCCATAGCTCTTGCAATTAATAATTAAACTACAATTGCAACACATCGTTTAAATTGCCTTTGCGACTAAAACGACCCGACCGATCGCTTATCTCGAGTCGAAATTTTGACAATCTCCAAATAGCTTGCAGTAATGACAACGCATCGACCGAATAAGTAACGCGTTCAGCTAAGCACAACTATCACACGATGGCCTTAACCAATTAACTACAAACGAAATTGATTTTTAATCTAACTTTAATTGACAAACATACATTAATTACAAATAAAAACAAATCACAAATGTAATCAAGCTTCCGCGTAGTGTTCAATCGTAAGTCTATTACAAATACGCTTGTAATTAAATTACGTCTCTAAATTGAGTCCTCGTTAGCGATGCAACGAGCAACCGGTAGAATGTCCAACGACGTGGCGAAAATCGCCGTAGGGTCTAACCACGATCCCGTACTCGATTGTGCTGATCAAAAAATTCAACGGGCAATTTGTCATCGATTCGGCTACAATGTCCGCATCCCCGGCACTAAGTAACGCAAAGTGGCACGTAATATGCAAGAACCAATGGGGAGGAAAAACCGTCAGCCCAACACTATCCGGATAGTCCATTGGTCCGGTATCCGTCCGCGGTCTTCGCGATTTCTCCACCACCTCGAGATCTCGAGTCTTTCCCTCCGAACGAATCCGTGTCTCTAGTCGCTCTCGTCCCACTTGCTCTCCACACGTCATCGGGTTTCCTTCCCCTGGAAGCCTCCCTCTCTCCCTCTCTTCCCTGCCAGTCCTTCTCCTCGCCGTTGCGCCGTTTACCGTTTACCGTTTACTTTTTACTTATTAATCCCGTGAAGGATTCGCCCCCTCGCATTACCCTTAGCAGTACTATTCTCGTGTGTATCGTCCTTTTTCGCCCTCGATTAAAGAGTTTACGCTTTGTTAAAATATTTATTCACACGCATTCGTTCCATCTCTCTCGCTCTCGCTTTCTCTCCCTCTCTCACTCTCTCTCTATTACTCGCGATTAGCGCTTTCTTCAGAGCGACTCGTGACTCCTAGCTTTTCGCCTTAGTAAACGTAATACCTAAAGTTATCCTGGAAGCCTATCTCAGCTCGACGCCCTAAAAAACATCTCCATCGGCTCTCTACTTTTCAGTAGTCGATCATATTTTTTATTTTATCGGTTTTCATTACTTTTACCTAGCGATACTCGTCTTATATCGACGTCGACCTCGGTGGGCGGCGACGTCTCCTCCTCTCCATGAATCACGCCCTATAGGGTCGAATCCATAAAAGGAATATAAAAGACGCCCTCTTATTATTGAGCGACGTCAATCTCTCCCCCTCTGTCTCTCTCGGCCCTAGAGCCCTGACTCTTGACGACGCACTCTCTCTTCTAATCGTTGCAAAATATCAACTACTTTCACCTATTTTTATTTTGGTGGATAAAATGTATAAAAGATGGCTGGCAAGTCAATTTTATCATGAGGAAAAATCTTATCTGACTTTTGCGTAAACGTATATTCACTCTCTATCTTGCTCTTTCGTTCTGTATCTCGCTCTCCCCCTATCTTTCTCCCTCTCTCTCTCATTATCGGTCTATTTTCTTCGTTAATGTTTATTCCCTCTCATGTGTCAACAGGTTACCTCGTTTTCTAACTTACATATCCACCCTCGGCATACTCGTATCTGAAACAGACCAAATTTATGGCTTTTTCGATAAACCGACGTCCGCTCGTCGCTTCCACTATTTCGTGTCTCTCTTCCGAGGAAACGCTCTCACTGGGGGGAAAACATCGTAATCGGCGTCGAGTTAAAAAAAAAGAAAAGAAAATATCGCAAAATCATCATCATTGTATTCTTAATAATTAAATAATATTTGGCATTCGAAGCCAAGAAATGGCCCCAGCGATCTCGAAAGAAGCGAGGTGAAAAATTAATTGCTGCCTCATGAAACTCTCGATTGCGAATCGACTACATCGTCGGATAAGATTCTCCGAGTAAATGGAATTATTCCGTTGGGTGATTTGACGGTGAATTTTTTTTATTTTTTTTTCAATCTCCCGGTATCCTCCACGGCAATGAACGTTCACCCGCGAGTCATGGGTTTAAAGGGCCGCATCAAAAGTCGCCTCTTAGAAGGGTCGCAGCAAGTGTGCAACGAATCGCTCTAGTAGGACAAAAGGTACTTTTGTCTAACCTATAAACTGTGGCCTACTTGGGCTGCTGAGCCTGGTACTGTTGATAGGAGTCATCGGGAGATGCCGCGTTGCTGGTCTGCTCGGAGTCACCCAGCGGCATGGTGTGGACGATGCTAGGTGCCGGATAAGTCGTGTACGGATATGGGTGCGGGCTAGCGATGTACTGCAATTAGAAGATAAAAATCCAGTAAACTAAAAGCGTACTCGAGAACCCCTAGATCAAAATCATATACCACTTACGGAACCAGTGCCGAGATGAAGAGTAGACATTTGGGTGGTAAGCTGAGGAATCATGCTGTACTGCGGGTTGGGATCAGCTGACGGCATCAACTGCGGATCAAAAACAAAAAAGGTTATTCGTTTAATCCCTAAGAAAAAAATACTAGAGACTTATCCGGTCGGCATGCCTCGACGAGAACGAAAAAGGAACGTATTTCCAATTTGTCCTAGGTGGAAAGATAGCAAATCGGAGGTGTGCACCGGTAGTGCGGGAGGATCCACTGGTTGACAAACGATTTCTGCCCGAGACACGGGGCACACCTCCGCCGCTGGCCCGGGTCGCAAATAAAAGTTCTCTAGAGACAAACTCACGTCGACCTGTTGCATGTGCGGCGGACCGGTCTGCACGAGGTAAGGAGTGACCCAGGGTGTTCCTGGCACGCTGTATCCAGGCACGGCTTGGCTATAGTGACGACTATACTGGGCCAGAGTCGCCGCCGGTAACATGTGAGCCGTCGCTACGCCGTTCTGACCCACACCACTCGCATCGTAATTCAGAGTCATGTTCTGCGCGAAAACACCAGGATTTCTTCTCTATTCACAAATCGAACCGCCAAAAGTTCAAAGACCGACCAAGTGACAACAGGTGCTAAGCGACTACAGAGTTACTACGTGTCTAAGGTGTTAGGGGGGTCAGCCCTCCGTAAAAACCATTTGTCTTCCCGCGATAGGAACCAAAGCTTCCACGAGGTGCCGCGTATCCTGCCTGGGAGGAGTCTCGTGAAAACACCGAGCCATTGTGCCACGTTCGACCCTGACGCGTCAATTTCGAGGGTTTTCACGGAGAGCCGACTATCGTCGAAGTCAGTGCGACACTTAAACAGAGAACGAAGCGAGCAAGTCACGCCGACACTTACGTCTCCGGCCTCTCTCCATATTGTACTCTTGTAGAGGGCCTTCTTCTTGTTCCCTCCATCGGCAAACTTCACCAGGAGAGGATCCTTGGCACCTTGCAGGGCCTTTCCGTTAAACATTTGGATTATCTGCTCGCACTTCTCCTTTGATTCCATTCTGGAAAAGATACGCAGGCTTGAAGCACGGGCTTATTTCGGCTCTCGGAAAAATCAAAGGGCTTTTGGGGAAATTCGATGACCTCACCTTGCGAATCCGACGCCTTTACTCTGTCCTGCCGTGTCGCGGAGGATTCGGGTTGAGATAACTTGGCCGTATTGTACAAGCAACGTTTCCACGTCGTTCTCCTTGTAGTTGAGCGGCAGATTGGCAATGTACAAATTGGTGGGGTCCTGCTCCTGTTGCTGAGGAACGAATAAGGGACTATGCAACTAATTATGCTTAATTACCCCACGATCGTTTTTACATAAATCGCGAGAAGAAACGATCGAGTCGCCTTAAATTCCCAAGCAACCGTTCGACGAGGTATTTCTCCAAATAAATCTCGACCTTACGAAGGTTTGAAGGATGCAATTTAATCGAGAAAAAAAAAATCCGCACCGGCCCCGCAAGGAGTCTTTGCTGGGAACTTAAACCGGTGCTCGATCCTCCTGCTCGTTACGCTATAATAAAATAAATAATATAAACCATAATAACGAATTCGCAGAACGACCGACCGGCGGTCGTTCTGGCGTCTTGCTCGACGAAATCATATTAAAGGTCGAACATTTTCCGAGATCTTCGTACGCTTGCGGAAACTCTTTTCGACGTTCGTCAATTCTCGCGCTTCTTCACTTAAGAGTCTTCGTCGTTACTTTCTATTCCTTTTCTTTAGATGAAACGTTAAGAGAACGACGTCTATCTACGACAGTAATAAGCTACAGAGGAGACCATTAAGCTATGGTAATAATTATGTTTCTGTCTAATCTCAGGAATGCAAATTAAGAAACGTTAAGAGGTAGATAGTGAAAGAGAAATAAAAACACGATTTATAATAACGTGGGTCGAGATATGTAGTCGTCCTCGGAGTGTCGGTAGACGTTCATGCTTCAGGGGCATAACACGGTTACCACATTCTGGTGGCTCTCCAAATGTGCTTTCTAGGATGACTTCGAGAAGCCCGAATGTAACGTGGCGCCACGGAAATGCGAATTGCTCCAAATTTCTTCTTTTTTTTTTTCCCGCCGTCAGTTTTCCACCGAAAAGTCGCAAAGAAATCTCGCATCCCGAGCGAACCTATCATCTCGGTATCGACACCGATCGATTGAAAGTGTATCTCCAATTTTGTCACAGCGATCGCGAGGACACACACACACATTGAAACAGTCGAACTGACAGTACAACGAAGGGAGGTCGATCGAAAAGGAAAAAAAGCCGTACGCCTCGAAAGGGAGGAACAACCAAGGGGTCGAAGATGAAAAGTTACGATCCAGAAAATCGAATGATCGATCCATCCTGTTCTCCAGGAAGAGGTGAACAAAAATCGGCGAGAACGATAAGAAGAAAAAAAAAATGCAGATCGTCTCAGCACCGGAACCCTTAGCTCGGGTGACAACTGACCTACCCAACGATCAAAGGGTTAAAACGTAACGCAGAATCTCGGTCGTTAAGGGACGATCGAATCGACAATTTCTTCCTCTTTAGGGTGGATTAAAAAAGGCTCGCACAGAGAATGGCCATACTCGGTGCCACAGAGTGGAAGCGCCCGAGTACATACACACAGGAATTACGATGCAAATTCCGGAGGATCGTTCCACGATGCTGGACATACGACGTCACGTAATCAGGAGACAGGACGTACCATCGAAAGCAATTACGAATAGTCGTTCAATAGGACGCACTTTGACATTCCAGTAAATCGAGAATGAAATCAAAGGAACGGCAAAGGAGAAAACTCGTATCAAAACGAAAACTATATATATATAAATATATATATATATATATATACGCATGAATATATAAAACACAAGGAGAGAGAGAGAGAAAGAAAGAGAGAGATAGAGAGAGAAGTATAGGAAGAAGAAGAAGAAGAAGTAGTAGTAGTAAACAAGCAAAAGTACAAAGCACAGGTGCATCATCACGCGTACATTTACACCGGTGAATAGACAAGACGGCGAAGGAAGGCTCCGACGATGGAAAACTCGACAATTATGCACAATGCGCATTACACATTCGCGGAATAAATGTGCTTTGGAACAAGGGGGGTGGCGGGGGCGGGCAGGGGGCAGGGGGAGGGGACGAGTACTTCGCAGGCAAGTACGTGGTTGTCGGTAATCGGGCTTGAGTAAATTAATATAAATATATGTAAACGGATAGACAGATAGGTAGATATATATATAAATATATATACATGTGTGTGTACGTATGTGAGGTACGTCAGGCCGCGCGAGTCGATCGCCACATACGTTACGCACCCTCGAGCATATTTTGAGATCCACCATTAGTCAAGAGAGAGAGAGAGAAAAAAAAGAAGAACGAGTCGAAAGTCTCAAGATAAAATCAAAGGATCTACTATTACTTTGAATATACTTATACTTTACGACAATTTACTTCAATCTTGCGAATGCATTAAAAGAAAAAAGAATAAATAATGAAAATATATTATGGTATGTAAGCCAAGCTGATGGCATTATCATGGTATATATATATGGACACGTATTTACGTATATCGTGTTCGTATCCCACGTATATATGTATATGCGTGTGCAGATGTATCATAGTATATATAAATATACGACGAGGTAGTATACATTTAACGGATATCTTTACGGGTGGAGGGCTGCCTGCGATATAGTCGAGCGGTAATTACGGCGAGGACACCGCGCGTGGAGGCGCTTCGCATAAAAATCCTTACAAATTGGACAAACCGCCCCTCGGAGCGTTTACTAGTCCCGTTCGTCCTTACCTGGAACAGGGTAAAATTTAAAACCGCCGACAAAGGGGAGATTCGGGGCCCAGTGTCGATTTCGTCCAGCTGTCGAGCGTCGCTCTGGCTCGGGGAAGGGTGCATTAATTTCTCGGGGAAAAAAAAAAAAAAATAAAAAAGAGTGATTTTAGGTGAACCTTAGCCTCGGCCCCCAACGCGGTGTCCTCACCTCACCTACTCCTTTCTCGTTTCCGCCGATAACGCGCACCTAGGGACGTTCTTCCTTATTTGTCTTTGCGATGCGATAAAAAAAAAAAAGCCAACGAGTCTGCGTCGATCGGAGCTAACCAACACCCCAGGGGCAAAGACAGCGCCCGATTTCGACGTGGCATCACCTAATGCTCGCTACCGGATACGGTACACCGTGTTATCGGATTCATTTAAACTGCGCCACCGTCTCGGATCCCTTTTCTTTAGTCTCGGTTTATCCTCGACGCCACGTGTCGGTACATATATATATATGCATATATCGCATGCGATCGGCATTTCGACACAGCCGGCCAATGGCACCCCCGTGCGTTTAAACGCGCCAGGTTAGAGGAACCGTTCCAAGCTAGTTTTCGAGCAAGAGTCCGTGATCGACTCGTTTTCATCCTCGCTTCCCGTTTGCCGAGCCTCTTGTTCCGCGCGGTATTTTCGGAACAACGCGAATCGACGCTTTAGAGAAACCGCAACTCTTGAGCTTCTTCGAAAAGAGTGTCGTAAGAATAAAAAGGATCGAAAGCGCGACGCAGGGATTGTCGAGACGCGTCCCGCGTGTAACATAAATGAGCGGTTAAACGTGATATATGTATATATATGTAAATATATATATATATGTCTATGCTGCCATACTTCAAAGCGAATCCGTGACTTCGAGCTGTCTCAAGTGGCGGTAGGAAATCGCGCCTAAAATTGCCGATCAACGCTTCTAAGTTTTTTTTTTTTTTTTTTTTTTTCCGCGTGTCGTGAGATATAGTGAATCCGCGCGAGTATGGCACAGGTCTCGTTAGCTTCCCTCCCGTCGCGTTCATGGAGACGCTCGCGAACGATTAATATAACTCGCTAAGGGCTTAAATTAGTGCTGAAACGAATGCAATTCTCAGACATGACTTGGAACGTGTTTGACATAGCAGTATCAGCAATTTGTGGCCGAGGTATAGCAGCAAGCATCGACAGGTTGATAGGTTTTATAGACAGAGATTCAGAGAGTAGAGACCGTAACTTTAGAGAGACTCTAAAAGAGCGAGACACGTGGCGAGAACAGAGACAGAGAGAGAGGTTGGAAGGGAAGGACAGAGAAGTCCAGGAGAGGATTTTTGGCAAGGGTCGAGACGAGAGGAATCGACGGAACGAATTTTCAACCGGGTAAAAAAAAAAAGTAACGATAGGCGTAAACGATCCTCTTTCGAAGGAGGCCAGAATCGTCCGTTGAAAACCGCTCAAAGCGGGTGAAGATATATATTTTTTTTTTTCCGCCGTAAAAAGAGGCTTGAAATTTGGAGAGGGCAGGCCCTCGAGACCTCGACAAGTGGCATCGGCTACCGTGGACCCGAGTGCCAGTCGGAGAGGCGTCGAGGGCGGAACGCGATGGAAAGGGTATTTAAACGGGGAAATCGGGGAGAAAGAGAGAGAGAGAGAAAGAGAGAAGGGGACTCAGGCCGGAGGGAAAGGAAATAGCGGGAGGCACAGAGGGATCGACAGATCGGTAAGAGGGAGAGACTCAGAGAATCAGGAAGAATGAAAGTGAGAAAGAGGTTTACTGTTACTCTGGTATTACTGTACTTGCATGCACAACCAACGTACACTGTCCAGTCTAGGGAGCAACCAGATACCCACTTTCGCCATCTGCGCTTGGATGCCCTTGGCGACCAGTGCTTTCACAGCACCCTCTGCCGCCACCGGTGATTCAAAGTCTACAAAGCCATAACCTGCAACACAAGGAACGGAAATTAAAGATGCCAAAAGGATCGAGTCTCGCGACCGGTCCTCAACATCCCGAACGGCGCGACAAATCGATCGCGAGAGAGCGCGACGCCATCGACTGGGCGATGCGCTCTCCGAGAAACCCCTCCTCGCCCCCGCGATTAAGCCGCAAGGCGTACGATAAAACGGAGCCAAGTACCTTTACACTTATTCGTATTTTTGTCCAGAATAGCCTTTGTAGAGGTTATATTTCCGTATCTGTAATCAAAGAAGCAGAGGCGTCGTGGCATTAGCGTCGGTCGATGCGACTCCGAACGACCGGGACTCGACTCGGCGGTTCACTTACTGAGAACACATGCTAACGAGGTCCTTGTCGGTAGTGTTTTGGTTGAGGCCTCGGATGTACAGGTTCGTCTTGGAGAGCTGCTCCATCTGCTGGCCCTGCATCGCGTTATTGCTAAGACTGGTGCTCATAGTCCCGCTTTGGCTGCCCGTCGCGCTACTCGAGCTGCTGTTGGTGTTCGCCGGGGACGAGGCAGTGGGTACCCGCTGTCCGCCGTACTGAAACGCACATTCGTGAGCGACCTCGGGCCCTCCACCTAGGGAGGCAGCTCGGGGGGCTGCCCTCCGTTCCGGGATACCAACCGACGCGTGCTGGGCGTAGGTGTTGGCCGCGTAGGGGTTGGCCGCCGGCGGGATCTGCTGGGCGCCGACGGGCATCTGGGCCGCGGCCGCGGCGTTGGGGTACCTCGTGTAGGGAGGGTAGGCTGCGGCCGCCGCGGCGGCCGCCGCCGCATGGGAGGGCGCGGCGCCCCAGGCGGCCGTGCCGCTCGCGCGGTACTGGACGGGGTTACCGCCCCGGGGCCCGCCGCCGCCGCCGCCCCCGCCGCCGCCGCCTCCGCCGCCCGCGCCGCCGCTGCCGGTGCCGCCCTTCAGGCCGTGGCCCCCGGCCTGGGGGCCCAGGCCGACGCCGCCGGCCCCGCCGCCGCCTCCGCCGCCGCCCGCGCCGGCTCCGGCCCCCGCGCCCACGCCGGCGCTCCCGTTGTTGGCCCCCGCGTACGTCGGCCGCGGTCCGTTGGTGCCCTGGAAATCACGAAAAAGAACCGTTAGTCTCCTTCGAGGGAAAATCGGGCATGGTTAAAGGAGACGGAAAGATACGAGGCGCTCCTCGGCGAGGCGGAGGGATCCGCGACTCCCTGCGTTCCGCTTTAATTCCCAGCCTGCCGCCCGCGGAGGACTCGAACGCAAACGAAAAGTCGGACGGGAGACGAGATGCGGCGTCGGCGGAAGCGTGAACGGAAGGGAAGGGGGGGGACCAGACATTAAGCAAACATCAAACGGGAGGGCGAGCGGACGAGTCAACGATGGCCTGTAAATTCTCATCCGCCGTTTCGTAAGCGGTCGCCGCGAGGTTGAACCGTCCCGATGGCGCGAGTTTTCGCACACCTTGCCGTGCCCGCGTAGGGAGAAGAGAAGAAAAAGAGGCCGGGACGCCATGCGTCGGGAGTGACGCATCCCGGGTGGGGGGCCGAGCGAGCAAAGCGGACTGCGCGTACCTTCCGCGTGATACGTCCAGCGGGCGATACGCGCCGGGGAGGAAGAGAAGAGCCAAGCGGATGAGTCAATTGTCGTGTGCATTCTCGTCCGCTTTTTCCTCTCCTCGTTAATTAACGCAGCGGGCCGATTCGAGCGCGCATGCGCCTGATCCGCGGCGTCCTTCCCGCTCGTCGGGGCGGAAGAAAAAAAAAAATCGAGGCCGCTCGCGGAAGAGCCGGAAGTTCTGTATTTCTTCCTCGAGCGACCCCGGCGACGCCCGCTTCCGGTCCAGGGGATCGGCGCGAGTGTTCGAATCGACGCGAATCGACGCTCCGGCAAAAGTAATCCCTGACGAGATTCCCCGCCGGAAATGCGAACGCATTCGACCACTCGACGTCCCTCGAAGAAAGGATTCGCTCCCTCCGGTCGGCGGGGGAAAAAAAAAAAAAAGGAAGAACGGTAACGTCCTCCGCGGGGCGACCGCGCGGGTGCGACCCACTTCTCCGCTTTCTAACCGGCCTAACCGACTCGTTTTCGTTCGCCTAACTTCTCCATTTTTTTTTTGCGTTACCCCGCCTTCCGGGGCAAAACCGACGTACTCGTGCGAGATATCCGCGCGGGATCTCGAGCGCGCCGCGCGGAACCGCTTCGACCCATTCCCCGCGAACAGTCGCCAGTTGGCAAAGTCGTTCTCCTCTCTGGGACTGTGTTTCATTTCCGAAAATCTCGACGAAGGCATTAATTTCACGTATCGCGCCATTCCCGTCGAGGGGTCGCCCTTTTTCCGCCGGACGTCTCCCCTAGGTCGTATAGCGACGCCGTCCACGAAGCCGGCGTCGTCGACGCCGACCGCACGTCGCTTCCTGCTTGCCGCGGCGTAACCGCGCATTCGCCGCATCCTCGTCTCCCGACTCGACCGATTGCCTAGGAAGGCGGAGGAAAAGGGAAACCGAGAAGTCCCGGGTGGAAAACGTTTATAATAATAAATTCGGCCGGTAAAAGTAGGCGCGGCGCATTCGTCCGAAGGAGAGACAAGGAGCGGTCGCCGAAGGGTTGCCGAAGGGTCGGCAAGGAGGTCGATAAGGAGAGACCCTAGAGCCCATCGGGGGAACAGGGCGGACCGAGAGCGGCCTTTCCGGTGCCCTATCGCGGAGGCGGGACGACGCGAGGTCGGCCGATAACCAGCGGGTTCCTTCTCTCTTTCTCTTCCTCTCTCTCCTCCGCGCGCATCGCCTTATCTTCCGCGCCCTATCGCAACGTAATTGGGCGACGACCGGGACCCTCTCGCGAGTGCTTCCCGAAATAGCGCGGCGATATCGCGTCGTCGTGGCCGAGCGACGCCTTCTCCGCGGACGAGACGCGGAGGAGGAAGGGAACCGAGAGAAAGAGAAAAAAAAAACCCTCCGCGACGAAGATCGCGATTCCGCCCAAGAGGATCCGTCCCAGGGACGCGACGACGCTACCCGCTCTCCCTCGACCCGGTAACCTCCAAACGAGAGGAAACTCTCCGAAGGAAGGCAGACGCTCGATCGCGCCTCGAGGTGGAGAGGGCCGGACTCGGCGCTCCGGATGTTCCGCGTCCCGCCGCGATTCGCGTCGCGTGATTGGCTCTTCGCTTCCGGCGGAACTTTCGACCACTTTTACCGGGATGGGAATTCAAAGGCCGATCCAAGTACGGAGCCCCTCGAAAGGACGGATAAGGACCCTGCGAACCCGATCGTTTCTTCATTTTTCCTCCGTTTTCGCGATCCCGTCCATCCTTTCCGCGTCCGTGGACGCGAGCCGGAAGCTAGGAGAGCCCGGAGGTCGGGGCGACCTCGCGAGGTCGCGTTCCGTTCCCGCGACGCCGCTTCCGGCGCGGCCGCTCGATCCCGTTCGCCGGTCCGGCGATCCGGTTTGCCGAGGAGTAGCGCGGCCGCGTTTCCTGCCTCCCCTTTCCGCGCGGGATTTTGTCGACCCTCCTCCCTGCCCCTTCCTCTTCCTCCGCAATGCCCGCGACCGCGGGCGGCGCATTCCGGGCGTTCCGTTTCCTCGTCTTGAGAAACGCATGCGTGCGCCCGTCGTCGCGTGGCTGACTTTCCTTCGGAGCTCGCGCGCGCCGCGGCCTCGCCGCGGCCTTGCGGAATTCGATGACCCGACCGCCGGACGAGCCGGACCCGAGGAACGCGACGAATGCGGACGAGGACGCCCTCGCAGCCCCAATCGACGCGAGCTTCGACATTTCCTCGGGTCGTCCCCAAAGACTCGAATTTTTTTCCCGGCGGAATTTCGCCCAAAACGACCCCCGCAAGAAAAATGGGGCAGAAACGAGTTATTAATTATCCGGCCGTGGAACAAAGTCCCGCCGTTTTAATTACGCCACGATTACGTTGAAAACGGCGGGAACTTGATCCCTCGACCTGATAATTTCCTGTCTCGCCTCGATGACTTACCGAACTCGTCGCGTCTCCAGGCCACAGGTACGATGGACTTCGACACATGAGAATCGAATTTATACCCTCGCGACGAGCTACGAGGAACTCCCTCGTTTGCGAGTTCATCTCGCGAGACCACCAGGGATAGGGACTAAATGAGCCTTCTCGCTGAGGACCTTCCCCGAGGTGGGAGCCCAACGAGAGACGAGGAGCGCCGTAAACTCGACTAAACCCGAGCCGTGACCGTCCTACGAGATGGACGCGGCTCGCGACGTCCGTGACGCGGCGACGCCCATTAGGGGGGCGCTCCGCTATCTTTCGCGTTCGCTCTTAAGGAATTTATTGCACCCCGGCAATCGAGACCGTTAAGTGAGTTTCCCCCAAACCGTCTTTCGCGAGTCGATGCGAGGTTAGGGCACGAGATTCGTACCTCGGATTCCGGTTCCATCGTGGAGGACGCTTAACGCGTTGATCCCGATCGGAAGTATCGGGCCCCAGGTCGGGCGAACGGGTAAGGAGGTCCCGGGACAAGATGGCGGCAAGGAAAGAGAATGACGCATGGCGCGGTCGGGGATTCTCGAGTCGGCTCCGATTTTCGGAACGGGAACCAGGGGCGGGTAGATGAGTCGACCGGGGCGAGCGGTGACGTGGCGAAAAGCGATATCCGAGGGGCTATTCCCTTGGGAATCGGTGGGAACGATTCCCTTCTTCGAGAGCCGATAGTCTTCGATTTCATACGACGATGCGATAAGGTATAACGAGGGACGTTCGGCCCTAAAACCGTGACAGGATTTTGGTCATTTCCAAGGATTTCCCCTTGGGTTCTTCCGCGTGATCTCGACCGTTATAATCCACGGTTTGGAAAATCGGACCTCGAGAATTTTTCTCAAAACGAAGATCCGACGATTCCGCCCATCTCTCCCCGGCGTCTACGAGAAAAGGCGTACCCGATTCGCGCGGCGATCCGGGCCACTCGAGGTCGGCGTCCTCGAGCGGCGCCATTGGCGGTCGAGCGCGCACGGGCGTCGCCTCCTCTCTCTCCGTCCCTCTCGCGTCGCGGGCATCGGCCCCTCTGCGTCGCGCCGCGTCGCACCTGTGCGACCTCTCTTATCCACTCTAACGCGCCGGACCCGTTTGGCCGTTCCCGCGGCGCTCTTACCTCGAATTTCCTCGCCGCCGCGTAACGCGTCGGCCGATCGATCGAACCGGGAGCATTCCTCTAAAATGAAACGTGGCAAAATTCGAAAGGGTTCTCCAACGACCCGAAACAAGGAGTCGTACCCCTCCCGCTTCCAGGGCGCCCGGGCGACAAGAATTCAAGGTCGGTCGCCATAACCTCAAAGCGATCCTCCGTCCTCTGGGTTATCACGGTCGATCATCGGAGCCGCGATTAGGGGCGTCGTTAAGACCGACCCAGCCCTTAAGAGGGTCCTGGCGGGTCGAGGGAAATTATCCAGGGAAACCTCGAGATTTCCCGGAAGAAAACTCGAAATTCGTCCGAATCGCCTCGTGCCGACCCGTCGCGGCCGCCGTTAACCCTAATCCGTTTACTCTTTACGGCCAATCGATAGCCCCGACCCGCGCATAATCGAGCGGCTAATTACCGTTGCGAATCTCCGGTACTCTCCCCCCCCGGGTTCCGGCGAGTTTCCGAAGGGTCCTCCTCCTCGCTCTAAGGACGATCAATTTCCGAGCAACGGCCGGGGGCAATTATCAGGGCCGACTCGTTTCGTCTCCATTACGGTTAGCGGCGTTACGGCGGTCGTTAGCGCTAACTCGACGGTCTCTCGTTCCCTGCCCACGGTTGTCCGTTTTCTCGACCGACGGTCCCGTCCCTCCACCCCTCTCGATCGTTATCCCGTACAAATTTGTCGAATAAAAATGAATACGTGATCTTAAAGCTGGGAAAAATCGACGGAATTCCCTGCTTCGAGGAGGCCTCGGTCTCGGCGCGAGGAAGAAGGCGGAATGGACGCGCGGCGTGCGCGAGATACGCGCGAGCGGTGTCCGGAACGCGCGGCACGTCACCGCGTGAACTTGACTCCCATCTAGCGCAGCCTTGAACCGCCGCGGTAGGTTACATTGGCCTCGCGAGGGAGCGAGCGCGAGAGCGAGCGCGAAAAGCGAGCGAGC